ATCTGGCCATTTGTGACCAGGAGCCGCTGAGGCAGGTTCATGGAAAAGCATGAATCTCTGGACCTTGTGGCAATGGAAGCATGTGAATCATGAGTTGTGTCTCACAACAGTTCCTTTGCACAGCAAGAGAAACTTGTCATTCCTCACACAAACATGTTGCAGTTTTAACAACACATGCAAATGAGATCGATGCAAAAGAAATGTTTCCCTTAAGTAACAATTCAAAGAACTTAAAGAAAGAAAAACTATTGATGAATCCACTAATTACCACATAGATTTAGTTGTTCATAACAACTTACATACTGTTTATTGCCCAGTGTTTTGTAATAATTGGTTGTGAATGGGCTAATTATATTTTTTCAGAATTCCCCACTGTGTGCATATCTGCATTTTCTAATGCAGGAGGTCCAGTGCTGTATCCTTTTCTTTTTTTTTTTTAAAGCATAATGATATGGCACCGCAGTCAAGTCAGGTTTTTAACAAGCTGAACTCCGGATGTGCTTCCTGTGCTCCACCTTCCAACCCCATTTCGGGATGGCCCTAATCCCCTAAGAGCAGGACACAAACCCGTGTGAAAATAAAACCAGTCTTTAAAGACAAACCACGTATTTGTTTCCATCACAAAGGCTCCACTCAGGTCAGCGGGCGGCAGAGGTGACGCGGGGCGTTTCTTCGGCTGCTAGGCTACACACGTGCTGCTGGGCCATTTTCTGTGTTTACCTTGTACTCTTTTCGGCAGAAGCAAGCCTACGTGCAAAGGCCTCCAGGCCCTCCGAGCACCAAAACCTGCCTGACCAGCCAGTCCAAACAGGGAGGCTGCATCTCCAGGCTGATGGCTGACTTGACTGATTTTACATATTAAAACCCCGCAGAGCCCCAGGATGAAAGCCACGCCTGGGAATCTCCAGCTGCCACCAAATATGTGGCCAACATGCCTGTCCAGGCTTCCAGACGAGGTCCATCCAGAGTTAACTGCCTGTGGTATCAAGTCGAGCAAAACGCCACGGAATGACTCATTCGCACGTAGGGGGAAAAGCAGTTCAACTCTGGCATAGCCAGCATCAAAGCAAACCATTCATAACTTCAGCTTCAGGGGCTGGGTGGAGGAAGAGAACACGCCAAGGTGGAAAGGAGGGAGGGAGAGGTCGTGTTTGAACAAAAAAACCGTACAATTCCACGGCTGATAGCGACAACAGAAGCTTTTACTCCCTTTAAAGGACCGTAAAGCTGTTGAGATTAAACCCCAGAGATAATTATCCAGGAAGAACTCTCACCATTGTCCAAATACTGCAAAGGATCTAAAGTGCTAAATGTCATCACTGGGATTCTCAGACAGGACATTCGTGGTTATCAGCACCTATACGGGCTTGACAGCACTGAGGAGATGCATCTGCCATTTCTATTTTTAGAGAAGTTCATGCATTCCAAACAGGAGATTAAAATTCACCCTGTAAGACAGACAGAACTATTGCCGGCTTGATTAATTTCCATCTCACATGGAACTCGGGGCAAGCAGCAGACATCTGCGAAACCGTGCTGTACTCTAGCTATAGCAAGAACTTACCTGTCTCCCCAAAGAAAGCCGACTAAAGCAGACTTCACAGCGTGGCTGTCCACACTCCAGAGTTACTCTAAACAAACCAACCCAATAAAATCGACGGTAGCGTCAGCTGCTGTTTTTCAAACAACAATCTGCACTTTGAACTCCAGAGAGATTTTTTAAAAGATAGTTTCAATGAAGGAAGCAGGGAGGGACATCCTGCACCAATATACTTTTAAAACCAACTGATGTGGTTTCGAAGAGAAGTGGAGCAACGTCTTAAAGCGCGGTGGGGGGAGAATGTGACGCTGGCAAAGGGACAACTATCAATTGCACAAAAGAGCATTTATACACTAGGCGCTTCCTAAGAAAACCAAGGAAAGGGCGGGAGAGCCAGAAGTATGAGGTGCTCTAGGATCAAAAACTTCTTGGGAGCAATGGGACCCCCTTAAAGGATTCTCACAACAGGCTGCCTTCCTTTCCCCATCATTTAAAAGTTCAGGTCAACCCCACAACCAAGCCAGCCTTCCTTCCACGTGAACAACAGAAGGAAATTAGATGCACCAGTACTCTTTTTGGGCTGCTCACATTCAGAAAATAAATATTGATATATCATATCATATCATTATCAAGCTAAAATTAGGAAAATGGAAAATGAAAGGTTAAACAGGAAAATGAAAGCTACTACCCTGGACATGTTGTCTCATTCCAGTTCCGCACTGAGGGCCAAACTACACATAATGGTAAACACTTCACACCTGAAAACAAGTTGGCAGAGGAGGGGGGAGATTTAATTTAATGCTAGCTTCAGAGCCTGATTTTAATCAGCGCCACCGCAGCTAGGCAGGAGAAAATTAACCAGCAAAAATGGCTTGCGACATTGACCAAATCTGTCCTTCCAGGAAATCTGTGGGGCGAGTCGTTGCTGATGCCAAGAGCCCTCAAGGAGCCCTCATCCTGCCTGGGGCCAAACGGTGATTCCTGGGAAGAGATGGTGCTTAAAACCAATGTGTTCTGAATCCCTCGCGACCCACCAAGATATTGCAACTGCTCCCAGGGTGCTTTTGCTGTCTCAGTGTCTCCTCGCATGGAAAGCCCTTTGCGTGGCACCAAGCACCCTCTGAATCACACCCTCTGGCACAAGCAAAAGGAGAAATCTTGGCCAGTCCTCTGAAACACGCACTTTGGAACTCTGAACAGACGCTTCCTCAATGAACACCGGCTTGGTCTGTTGCCTTGAAATCACTGTGAATAGTGCGGTGTATAAATGTTGTGAATTAAATAACAAGACGCTCCAATATCCCCAGCAGCCAGCCTGAGAAGGGCTCCTCAAATTCTGCCACCTGTCACTCAGACAGACAGGGAAGGAAATCGAGTAGGGAAAAACCCAAGTGCTTCTGAACCAGGGAGCTGCAGAACAGAGGCAATGCAGAGCAGGAATGGGCACAGAAATGGCACGATTCAGAAGCTCATGGGGTGCTGTTTCAGTCTCCCAGGTTGCTCTACTGCTGATGGGGAAAGCTGTGGTTTGTCAAGCCAATACATTAAAGGGAGAAGTCAGAGTGAAGTGCCTAAATTAGAACTTATTATGGTTTGATTCTATCTGTACAGTCTAGCATATAAAAAGGGTTTCCTGCACCACTACAGATTTTAGTGAGCTCCGCAATGCTGGGATGATTGCATTATCAACGTTTACTACAATGTGAAAGGTCACAATGGTTATTTTGCATTTAGTGTTTAATGGAATTGTCACAGAAAGCACTTTTCAAATTTCCCGACTAAATGATTCTGGTTAACATATGTTTGACTTGTAGATGTGCACAAACATACGCAATCTGCCAACAAAGGAGAACACGGCATACATTTGCCAAGGTGGCGTGCGGTCCATGAAAGTTCCTGCCGTACTTCCTGCGGCTCTTCTCTTCTCACCGTGTGAGCGGCACAGCCACGATCCAGGCAACGTCCGCTGTACGGAGCCGGAGCCGGAGCCAGAGCCAGGCATTTTTCCCTTCTGCCAAAGAGCAATCCCTGCCCTACCACCCTCCCGCATTACAAAAACTCAGGGAGCACGTGCTGGTTCAGACCCCACGTCCGGGGGCAGCATTCTGCCCACGCTGGCCAAGCTGGCACCCTGCCGGGAAGCCAACAAGCAGGAAATGGGTGCATCAGCAGACTCCTGCACAACCACGTCTGCCTCTGATGCTGAGAGGGCACGCAGCCATCAGGGCAAGTAGCCACCGACAGTCTCCTCCGCCAGGAACTTGTCCAGCCTGCTTTCAAGGTCATCCACCTTGGTGGCCACCACAGCCTCTTGGAGAAGCAGATTCCATAGCTTAACCATGTGCTGTGTGAAGGACCTCCTCTGATCTGGCCTGACTCACCCACCAATCATCCCCGTAGGATGATCCCTGGTTCTAGTATTATGAAAGAGGGAGAACGATCCTGTGACACTTTCTTCACGCCATGCATGGTCCTGCACACCTCCTTCATGTCTCCTCTTCCCCTTTCTCTAGGCTGAACGGCCCCACTGCGGCAGCCTTCACTCACGGGGAGCTGCTCTGGTTCCCTGATTCTCTTCACTGCACTTTGCCCCCAGCACAACTGCATCCTCCCTAAAAGCTGCAGTGACCAGATCTGTACAAGGCATTCCACGTTTGATGGAGCCAGAGCTCTGTGGAAGGACATTCTGATAGTGGCTGTTTTCTATCTGTTTCTTCACTACTTATTAGCATTTTCCTCAAGCTGCTCACCGCAATGCAAAGATCTCGTTCATGGTCAGTCGCTACTAGCTCAGATCCCACCAGCTGGAGCTCCTCTTGCGGGATCAACTGCTCTTAAAGACGTTCAGGCAGGCTTGCTCACTGGTCTAAGTAACAGGAGGACTCAGCTCTGTCCCAACTTGGTAAGATCTCCATGAGATGATGCAGCCACTGTTAATGCCACCATTGGATGGAGGTTCACCTCCACGTACCTTTCCACATGCAGTGTTGTCGTATCTGCGTCCGATTCTTAGACGCCTCTTCGTTGTTATGGGAAAGGAACATGAAGTGGGGTGAACAAGGGCGGGCTGCGTGTTTACTTCTGTTACAGCAGCACATCTCCTTACACACAAATTGACAAAAGGGAACGTTCCGCCAGCACCACCCAAGCAACCGCAAGCACAAATGAAAGATGAAAATGTTTCTGCCCCTTGAGACCTACTGGCTGCTTAGTTAGGAGCTTGCCTAGGCGACTACAACTACCTTTATCATACGCAAGAAACACACTTAAGTTCATAAAGGCTAACGTAAGTCCCATTGCTTTCAGTGGCTCAACCTTAAGCACGATTCCGCCTGGGCTGAACCGACAGCATTTAACAATAACGCTTGCTGGCATGCTGAATGCCAGCTTCAAGCCAAGCTAAACACAAGACTTGGCACGTTCAAGGACAAGGTGCCCGACAAGAAGAAGAGTCCCTTACCTGTATTTTTATTGGCCAGGTAAAGTTGCTGACGTACACGAAGAAAGTGATGTTGGGATTGTTGCGGAAGTCAAATTTCTCATTGGAGAAGCTGTCCTTATACTCCCTGATCTGGCTCTTCGAGACCACTGGAATCTCCTCCCCTGCCTGTGTGCCAGCTGTTTGAGCAGTTCAAAAGAAAAAAATAGGGACACGTCAGTCTTGTGCAGAAGCTTGGATTCCCAGACTAGGCCATGGGAGACACCAATTCAAATCACACTCAGCCATGACGCTTCTGGAGTGACCTTGGGCCAAGCACATCCTCCAAACTAATCTACCCAAGCGAGTTTTTGCAAGGACAAAATGGAGGGGAAAACCACATATACCACTCGGAGATACTTAGGAAGAACGAAAAGACACAAATGCAATAAAATGAACAGTCTGCTTTTCATGCAAATCTTCCATGCTATTCCGAAGAGTACTCTTATTCTCTTAATTATACAGCAATGCTCGTTGATAATAAAATTAAATGGTGCCATTTAAACAAGGCGATGCTGAGTTCGGTTTCATTGCTGCTATCAGTGAAAATTTCAGTTAACATTTCAGCAGCCAACGCAAGCGTACAAGATGTGGAAGTCAGATAAATGGTGTTCAACTTTGTTTCCCAGACCCTCTTCGTACGATACTGAAATGATGCCACAACATGCACTGTCACACCGAGCAGCAGCCTGCTAAACCCGCGAGCCACCTACGCAACGCCCGCAGATGAGCAGGCGGAACGAGCTGAAGGTCGCCTGCGAGACCCTCCTGCCAGTGGCTGAGCTGCTGTGAGGTCACCGAGGGGCCGCGCCTGGTTTGCCAACGGCTTGGAGCAACAGCCAGGGGAAAGGCCTGGCATGGAAGGCCCGGGGGCAAGGAGGAAGGGGAACAAAAGACGCTGCAGGCAGCAGGCGGAAGAGCAGGGAGCCAGGAGGGCAGGAGGAGGAGGAGGGTGGCAGGAGCAGTTAAGAAGGAAGTGCACAGGGTAAAGATTTACGGGAAGAGGAAGAAGAGGAGGGGGCACGGAGGCAGTGACCAAGGAGGTGGCGTCGGGAGCCACGAGGCGGGCTGACTTCTGATTCCACACAATTGGTCAAATATTCATCGGCTGATCTGAACCATACGCAGCCACCACATGCGAGGCGTTCTAGGTGGGTAGAGCGCTGGGCTGGGACTTAGGAGAGGTGGGTTCTAGTCCCACTCGGCCTTGAAATTCACAGGGCCAATCACTGATTCTCAGCCTAACCTACCTCACAGGGTTGTTGTGAGGAAAAAATGGAGAGGAGAACTATGTAAGCTGCCCCTGGGTTGTTCACAAGATGAAAAAAGGCAGGATATAAGTGTAGCCCCCTCTTCCTCCTCCCTAGTTCTGATTCGGGGTATTTGGGAAGGATGGTTCTCACCTGCAAAACTCGTTGACCAAGTGATGTTGAGGTTGAAGTTTTTAGAAGCATTGATGAACATGTCCAGGTCTCTGTTTTGCTGTGTTCACAGAACAAAAAAAAGGAAACTGATTAGTATCTAAAAGAGCAAGAAGCTCCCATCAGAACCTTGCCAGCATGGCTCAGACAAGAAGGACTGTGACCTGGACTGAGGCTTACCTGTGGCATATTAATCCACATGCCAGTAGCTGGTTTTGATCTGCTAAGTTTTTGTGGTGTGTTTTTTATTTCAAGCAGTGGGAACACAGCGCCCCAAGTCTGCTATTTCAGTGGCCCAGGCCAAGCGTGATGGGAAAATATGGCCCTGCCATCCACAGGAGGATTTCAGTGCGGTAGTGGAAGTGAGGACTGTCTCTCATTTGAGCCTCTTCTTAGCCGGCGTGAGGAGGAAAGGAGAGGTGCTTCCTGGCCCAGGCTTTCTCTTTTGAAAGGATCGGCCTATTACTGTAAAAGGCCTGGACCATTTTACAAAGACAGGTAGGGAGAACCGCATTGCCACGCCATTTCAAGGGATCGTTCCCAGCCTGCTGCCTTCCAGATGTGCTGGACGGTAAATCAAACGGCCGTGTTACTTGGGTGCTACAGTCCAACAAGTCTGGAGAAGGCTGATCTTGCTTGCTCCACCTTCCGCCCATCCAGAAAAACCCATGGAAGGCTGCACACAGGGGCGTCCATTTTCAGTATAAGTCCCACGACGCTATTTTCAGAGAAACTACCTGATTTAAACTGTTGTGACTTGCAAGTGCTTTTCACAGTGTACTATGTCAATGCAGGCCTCCAGTTCGTTACAAATTGCCTCTTCTCATCTTTGGGTTAGCCATATTTCTCAACCTCAGTTCCGCATCGGCCAAATCGGGAGGAAGGCACCCTCTCTCACAGGGCTAGTCACACGAGGAGTGCGCACTTGGCATGCTATGAAAAATCTGCACCACTGCACAGAACAGACAGACTTCACCGACCACAGAGAAACCAAAGTATTTTAATAAACAATGTGAAATGCGCTGGAGAGAAGGTACTAACCTCTTCAGGCGTTGCTACAAAATTGATTGCTGTATAATAGCGATCGTCTTCTTGTGAAAGACTGAATGTGAACTGATAGTCAATAAGAAGCGTGTCTGTAGAGAAGTACACAAAAAAGAGTTAGGGGCGCCTTGGTCTGAGGCCAAATTCCATGGAAGGCTGGCAGCTTCCTAAATGCCTGCAGAAGAAACCCTGCCTTCTTTCTAGAGAGGGAGGAGCGGGGAACCCAGGGAGGGTGGGGAACGAGCCAGGAAGGCCCCCACCAATCTTGCCCCACTGTTCTACGTACCGCGCTCTCTCCGTCTCAGCCCCCAAGATGCCGGACAAGGACAAGGCTGAGCTGCCTCACTGACTATGACTGGAATAACGCAGCTGAATTGTTCTGAAAAATCAGGCACTACATAAATGCTAAGTGTTATTTTTATTGCCTTTTTGTCTGCCACCGAGGTCTGAAGTACGCTGGGAATGAAAAGGAGGGCTGAGTCTCCGCTGTAGAACATGCAGCCCCAGGAGTTCCACCTGATTTCCCCTTTGCTGGTTTTCTGCCATCTTCTTCAGACTAATTTATCCATGCAAGCATTTAATGTATCTGGTTAATTTTTTATTACATTTTTATTTGCTGTTCTGTTTGCATGTTAGTCTTTAATTGTTTTTAATGTGCTCATTGATTGTTTTAAATTGGTTTTTATTGTACTGTTTAGATGAAAATCTGGGATGAAAATATGTTCAGGCAAGCCGCTCTGTATTATCACAGCAATTCATGTTTTTAAACTTTCAAGTACCTTCCTTGCACCTTTAATCCTTCCTGGCGTATTCCAACCGATCCCTTTCTTGTCTTCATTCTCAGATTGCCCCGCCTGCCAGCACTCCCTACATGAGGGTTTGTGCAGCACCCATAAATGTTTGGCGTAACAGCAGCAAGTTGCCCACGTATGCCGAATACAAACATACCGTCCGTTCCAATGGGGACGTTTGGCTATCGCTTCTTTCCAATGGCAAAAGCCGTAATAAATATGCTTTAGAAGAACTATTGGCATCAACAGCAATACATATGCGCACACGTACCTTTAGGTATGCTATAACAGTAGCCAAAAATATACATCCCTGAGTATGGGGCAGCGGCCCTGTATGCCAAACTCTGCTTCAGGTCCTTACAGGGCATCCTTCTTAAGCACCTGAAGCCAGCTCTCACGCCTGTTGGAATCTTACCACGCCATGCGTCCCCTCTGCAGGTCCCTTCCTCTCTGCCCCCAGCAGGGCTGCCCACAGGCATGAGTTCAGGGGCCCTGCTGCTGCCCCACACGAGGATCCAGGCTGCTGCGCGGCTCTGGGGAGTTGTGTGCCTGGGCCAGGGGAGATGCAATAGCTGGCAAGAGCCGAGGCACAGGGCCCCTTATGTGCAGGGTAAGCTGCCCGGGGAGCACAACTCCCTCACCACCAGCACCTCCTCCTCTTCCTGCTCCTGCAGGCCAGCCTGCCTCCCAGCACTCTTTCCTGGCCCTTTCCGCCCCATGGGGGCTTGTTGTCTTGCAGGCACCTACCCCCACCTTGGTGGGCGGTGGAATGAGATGAAGGCAGGGGCAGCTTCCTCCTCCGAAATGATGTCAGCAGGGACTGGCTGATATGCACATATAATTCTGCTCCTTTACCATCTACACTGGCTACCAGTTGAAGTCCGGGCCCAATTTAAGGTGCTGGTGATGATCTATAAAGCCCTATAAAGACGAAGACCTTTTTATTTAAACGTCATTTTAATTGTTAACAATATTTGCTTATTTATCTGGCCAGGGCGACTTCTTTTATATTGTTATTTATTTTATATTGTTAATTTTATATTGTTATTTTTGTAGTTTATTGTATTTTATTTGTGCTGTGAGCCGCCCCGAGGCTTCAGCAAGGGGTGGCATAGAAATGTTTTAATTAATTAATTAATTAATTAATGGCTTAGGGTCTGGTTGCCTGAAGGAACGCTTCCTTCCCTACGTGCCTGCCCTCCCCTTAAGATCTGGGTTGGAGGTCCTTCTTTGGGAGCCCTCTTGGAAGATTAGAAGCATGGTTACTGGAGAAGGGCCTTCTTGGTGGTGGCACCCCGGTTAATAAATACACTCCCCAGGCAGCTTTGCCTGGCACCAACACTTTATTCTTACCAGCGCCAGACCAAAGCATTTTTTTAAAATCTTCCCAGTATTTTAAGGTTTAAACTGTTGTTTTAATTGGGTTTTATAGAAGATGATGCTCTGCTTTACTCTGTTTTACTTAGTTTTATTGTAAGACCATCCTGAGACTTTTGGTAATGGAGATGGTACAGAAAAGCTTTCAATACATCAATTAATTAAAACATAAACTAAGCTCCTTGCTCACATATGCCTGCAGCAGTTCAACGGTGGGCCATTGCGGAAAAGGAAGGATTCAGAGGCCAGGAAAACTCTCTCACTACCTGGCTCTTCAGGAAGCGGTGCAGGCACCTGGTGCTCTCTGCTCCACCTGGCAGGAAGCTGATCCTGATGAAAGGAGGAGGGAAGGGCTGGCAGGCATCTCCCAGCTCCTCCCCAAGGCCAGAAGGAAGGGATACCTGAATCACCAAGACTGGGGGTGGGGGGCACACACAAGGTAATAAAAAGGTAAGCCCCATTCCCAGCTGAGAAAGGCATGGCTAGGGAAGTGGGGCTGATGCTGTGGTCCCCCAGGAACCCCTTGGGGTACGCATCTCTGTTGAGGCTGCTGCCTTCTTCCCCTCTCCTTGGTTTCACCTTCCTTCGCTCCTGCTGTAGAAGCCAGGAAAATAACTTGCCACAAACACTAAAGGAGCAATAGAAAAAGTCCAGCCTACTCCCCCTCCCCACCCGCTAGTCTCCTGCAATTAAAAAAGGAGGAGGAAGACCTTATCTCCTGCTAGGTGGAGCCCAAAGCACCGAGTCTCTGGATCACCAAGGGAAGACAACAGATTGCAAACTGCAAACAAAAAAGCTGTACTGTGGCCCATCAAAAAATGAAGGCATCCATTTGGCAAGAGACAGAACGCTGGCCTTGCTCCAAGCCTCCTGCAAAGGGTTAAGCAAAGAGCAGTAATTCATGAAGCACCAGTTCTATCTGTGTTGGCGTTTCACAGCGTTACCAAAGCGAAAGGTCTCTGCTCCGAGGAAGATACGGTACAAATTTCACTGAGGGTGGGAGGTGGAGACACAGGCAACAGAGGAACAGTGGAAGAACTGTCAAGGCATCTGCCTTTCAGGAAGGCAACGGACAGACTCCAACCGCATTTAAGGACGGGACTACTTCCACAAAGGCACCTTCTCTATAAGCTGCCGCAAAGTGAACTCAATTGTACGAGAGCTTTACACGCCTTAGATTAGCTTGTTTATTGCAAGCTGTTTGATGTACAAGCACCAATTCATGTACGGGCAAACGAAACAGTGCTCACTCACAGTAGCAGGTTCCTTTCAGAGGATTGCCTTGGTATCGGTTCTCAACCTCACATCTAGAAGAAAGAGCATTAACAATGTTCGCTTTTAGTATTAATTTTCTCTCGAGCTTAAAACCGTACATGTTTTGTTTTGCTGTCAAGTCACATCCAGCTTGAGCTAGGAAGGTGACTGGCTCTTTTTAAAAACAAAGCAAGCTGAACTATGCAATGAGTTAAGGAATACATGGCAACACAGACGGGCAGAATACAGAATCGAGGCTGAAATCTAAAACACATGGGTGAGAACCTTGACACGAGTTTAAAAGTTTACCAATCATTATCTAACAGCTGTCCAAAAATAAGCTGCAGCATAAGCACGGAGGAAGTGAGAAGTATTGGCTCCATCAGACATTTTGTGGGGACGATTCAAACAGTAAATTTTCATAACATCACATTAAACTGCAGGACTAAAAGATGCTCTCGGGCACTTCAGGGCCAGCAGTTGCTCTGTGCAAGCGAGGGGACCAGGTTCTTGTCCAGCCTGGCTGGCAACATCTGGGAGGGACTCATCTCCCCACCCCACCACCTGGCCAACCCAGAACTGGGGGCAGTTTCAGCCACTGGCTCACTGCACCAAGGGTTCCTGCCTGCTGAGAGCCGCTGTAGGGCCGCACTTAAAGAAAGGTACCCCTCACCTGACAAGGAGCTGCCTGCATTTAACCTCTTCTGAGCAGAAGGAATGTCTATGGCCATGCTCTCATTTTCAGGGTTAGGAGCCGGGTGCCTGAAGGAGTGTCTCTTCCCATATATACCTGCCCACCCCGTAAGATCTGGGTCAGAGGTCCTTCTTCAGGAGCCCGCTTTGAAGGAGATCAGCAGAGTGGCTCCCCGGGGAAGGGCCTTCTCTGGTGGCCCCAGCCCGGAGAGCTGCACCTGGTGCCAACACTTTTATTCATTTTGGCACCCGGCCAAAGCCTTTTTATTTTCCCAATATTTTAAGATCTGAAGGTTGTTTTTAAAAATGGGCTTTTGTTTGTTGTTTGATGCTGTGCTTTATTGTTGTATTACCATCCTAAGATGCAGGTGAAGGACAGGATAGAAATGCTTTTAATAAATAATAATGTTGGGGCCAGCTAGCTTGCTTGTTTGTTTGTTTGCAGGGTTTGGAACAGGCTAAGAATTCCTGGTGTTATTCACCTATTGCCTACTTTCAACTGCTGAAAGGTACCATAAAAATCCCTGCTTACACTCACACACACAAAACCATGTCACTAGGCAAACATGTAAGCGCTGAGTTTCTCTAGAAAGTGCTTCCTTCTATTTTCCCCCTATGTTGCTGTCTTGGCCCCACCGTTTTTCATTTCCAGGCTAGGACTATTTTCAAACAATAACCCAAGTAATAGGGTGCTAACAAAACCAGTAGAGCTCTATACCAACCAAAGGCTGATCCAGTCCAGCGTTCTAGTAACACTGGGGCCAAGCACATGCCCATGGGGTGCCCACAGGGAGGCCAAGGGCACCCTCCCCTCCTGTCCCCCAGCAGCTGCTACTCCAGAGGTGGGAGCAGCAGCCACTGACAAGTCTTTCCCTCTATGAATCTGTCTGAAAGGGCTGAGATCTTGGTGCTACAGAACAAGCCAGATCCTCTTATACAGCAGCATCACTGAGAGCAATACATCAAATTTAACTATGGGCAATGATCCCTGGCCTGGGTACACTAACAGTCCCAGATAATAACTGATCATAGAGTAAACATGACAATGTCACTGAGGGCAAGGAGGCTATTTATGGCCGTGCTTCCTGAATAAGTGAACTCTTCCATTCCCTTTCGGAAAATTCTCTTTAATTAGAGAGGGGGGTGGAGGGGAGACAGACCTTGTAATGCTGACAAAACAGATGGAAGAACCCTGCCCATTCCTTTCGGCACAGAGCTAAGAAGCGCACGTTCATATTTCTGCCCCCCCCACTCTGTCACCGCGATGTGGGGGGGGGGCAGAACCATACAACTGTGCCAGTCTGCACCAGGGATTTCAAAGGCGACTGAAAAGCAGGATCGAAAGAACCACGCCACTTACTCTCCAAGCCCATGGCAACAGCAAGCTGCCTGAAGCGCTTCTAGAGCACGTCACAAACTGCGTTATGCCCCGGCGTGCGTGTCCGGATTTGCAGAGCGAGCACAGCGAAGGCTTGGGTGGGCCGAATGCTTTTCGCTGGACGATGACCCACACCCCTCCACCACAACACGCGCGGCAGGCCCCTGCTACACCCCACGGCCCCCGAGCGCTCCCGGCGTGGACACTCACAGCTGGCACTCCTCTCCTTTGATCCCTTTGGTGGTACAGAAGCACTTTCCTGTGTTTGTGCTGCAGACGGACGCGTGGCCGTTGCATTTGCAAGCTGCAAGGCAAAGGGCGTCTTCAGTGAAATCCATTCCAATGCATTCCGATAACAAGTCCACACTACAACACGGGGGGCGGGGGGGCTGGGGGGCAGCTCCAGCCATTTTGGCCTGCAGCTCCCGCAGTCTCTCACTGCCGCCGATGCTGGCCAAGGACAGAGGCAGGCTGCAGGCCAAAACATCTGGAGGGCCGTCAGTTGCCGGCCCTGTCTACAGCATGGGTAGCCACTTCCTCAGATCTGCAACAAGCAATCAGAGAGCTAAACCAGGGGCAGCGCACCCTGACAGAGAGAAAGCAAGGTTACCCCGCTTCAGGTAACCCTAGGTTCTTACCCCGCTTACCTTACCCCGCTTCAGGTAACCCTAGGTTCTTACCCCGCTTACCTTACCCCGCTTCAGGAGACATTAGGCAAAGTCACTTACATGAATCAGTGATTGGTTAATACATTGGGAAATGCATTAGTGAGAAACTGTTAACACCTCAATGTTACTTGCCACAATCAAAACTTATTTTAAATAATATTGTAATCCAGATGTAAGAATATTGCCTCTTGTTCAAATACAGGACTTTTCAATACAAGTGAAGTGATGGTCCAGTTGAATAGTTCTCCAAAACTGCCCAATAGACACCATGTATACGGAATTCTGTTCCCTAAGAATTTTGGCTCTCCTTTTCTCTCATTTTCTAAAATGTCCTTCGTTTAAGGCATCGGAAGCAAGGATGCTTCAGTGCTCTCCCTGTGACCCTTCTGACTAGCAAACCCAGAATAAAGTACACAGAAAGGCAAACATGTGGAGGATAAAGCATGAAAATTTGTTCAGTTCACATCACCAGCTCAGGCTGCAGAAAACAGCTTCTTCTGGCACAGCAGGTGAAGCTGCTCGCAACACGCCACGCCACACAGCGGCCTGGTTCCAGCGGCCTGCGTGCGGAATGCAACCCTGAGCCCGCAACGGAAGCAAACGCACAATCCGGTTAGGGACAGGAGGAGGCTGAGGACATGACTCACGCTGACAGGTCCCTCCATTGGTGGGGTCTCCATAGTAACCAGAGATGCAGCTCTCACAGTGCTTGCCTGTCGTCAAGTTCTCACACCGCTCACAGATGCTCTCATTGACACATTTACTGTGCCCGTTACACTGGCAGGCTGAAGACAAAAAAGACGCTCAGCCCGCATGTTCCCTTGCCACGCATTTCATTATTTACCGCTGTGATGTCCTGGGACTCCAACAATGTTTAGTGTTTAAGGATGAGCCACAGCGGGTTCTTACAAGGCCAGCTGGCAGCTCGGCCAGAGATTCAGTGGGCTCGCTCTCCTGGAACGCAGCGAATGTGCAGGGGCTGCACAAGAGCATCCCAGTGATGCTGCCATGCCTAGGCGGGACCCACTGCGCACCCTTTACAGTCACAGCGGCTGATACATCATTGCCCTGGGACTGGCAAACCAATGCTCTGGTTTCGCACACGGTTGTTTATCCCTCTGCCTGCTCTCACACAGAATTGTAAAAACATCAAAAAAGCAGAAAAAGGGACAGACTGGTGCTTATTCCCATTTTCCCACTGAATTGCCTCCCCCTGGCAATTAATATTTATGTTTTTGTTTTGTTCAACATGATGCCACAGGAGGCGCAAATGGTTATTTACTTTAAGGGAAGGCTCACAAATTGGTGTCTGAAAGGCTGGGCTCTAGAATTATTTACCTGCTTATTTAATTTATTAGATTTATATCTTGCTTCCCCCCCCCCTTTTTTTTTTTAAAGAACTCAAAGCAGCTTACATCATTAACTTCCTGCTGCTTTCAGTCTTTTCTCCAGTTGAGGCCTTGTGCTCTGTGGCAAAGCCCATGTGTGCGATTGCACAGAGACCACAAAGGAGAACATTAACTTCTTGCTGCTTTCAGTCTTATCCCCACAACAACAACCCTGTGAGGTAGGCTGGGCTGAGAGTCTGCGACTGGCCTAAAGTCACCCAGTGGGCTCCATGGCTGAGTGGGGACTAGAACTCAGCTCCTCTGAGTCCCAGTCCCGTGCTCTTAACCACTACACCACAATGGCTAGAAATGCCTTTTTCATGTTGCTATTAAGACAGAGCCAAGCAGGTTTTCCATCTTGAAAGCAGGGATTTCAGGGAGGGCCAACACCCAACCAAAACCCTTTCTTTCATCTTTTTCACAGCTTTTGTCAGTCCTTATTTTCTCCCACAGTTTTGCTTCTGCAGCCATATTTTCCCTCCATTCCATTCCTCCAACTCGTCCCAGCCCATCAGGGATGATCACAACACTCAGTTGTAAATCAGGTTTAGCTCTGCACTGACATCACTACAGAAAAATTACAGCAGGGAAATCCCTCCTGTACTGGTTGTGCTGAGTTGGGTCAATCAGGCATCCATCTAAGAGCAATTTCTTAGCTCTTTCCCATCAGCCCCACCAAAAATAAAATAAAATCGGCAAGGGAGCAGCAACACTGGATTCTGATTAAGGTTTTCATAGCGCTAGACTCCATTTTGGCTCTGCACATGTTTTTCTCCAAATATTTCTATCAGATTTCTACACAGGGAAAGATGCAGCTACTCCACCGGCTTTGCCGAGAAACCACCTTCTTCAGGCTTGTCTCCCTCAGTGCTTTGAATTTCCTCTGGCTAGTCTAGGAACTCAGAAACTAGTACCAGTTTGCTTCTCCTGTATTTTGTCCCCATCCCTTTTTCCTCTTTATCTTTTAAATTAAAGGCTTGTGGGCGGGGATCGTCTTATTTGCCATTGATCTCATATAAGCTGCTTTGGGGGTCCTTTCAGCCGAAAAGTAAAACATGTTTTATATAAGTGAAATGGGGCTTCTTTGATTTGGCATTCAGTGACTTTCTCACTAATTATTGCTGACATCTCTGCAAGAGCAAAGCTGACCTAAGTATCATCTGGTCCCATTTTCAGGCGAGCAGAAACATTTGCTGGAATAAATAAATAAGTAAATAAATAAAGCCAAAATCACTCTCTCTGTTGCACCCACTCTGACTGATTGTATTAGAAAAACATGTGAGCTTTCAGGGGTAAGTTTATGATCAGTGTGGCATTGCATTTATATCCCACCTGTTTTGCTCTTGTGAGGAATTCAAGGCAGGTTACATAGTTCCATTTTACCCTGACAAGAACCACCCTAGGCTGGCAGTGAGATTTATGGCTGGGTAGGGGCTGGAAACCACATGCTCCAGAGCCCCAGTCCAACTCTAAGCACCACACCGTGCTGGCCCTCAGTAACAGACACAAAAATGAGTGCCTGGGACTGGGACTCAGGAGATCTGGGATCTAGTCCCCGCTCGTCCACGGAGCTCACCGGGTGACTTCACACTGTGGCCGCCGTGAGGATGAGGTTGAGAGAGGCTGGAGAATTAGGAAACCTGCCTTTTGCTCCTTCAAAGGAGAAAGGCAGGATATAAATATGATAAACAAACAAACAAACCAAAAGGTGTTAAATAATAACAATTTGTCTACAGTAAGTGTTCCGGAATTCATATTCCGGAATGAATTACCTGGACACTGAATAAAAGACCAGTTATAGTTATTCTCGGTCAGACACATGGTGACGTCGAGGGCGGGTTCCAGGTACGAGCTTCCTCCTGTGGGCGGGGAAGGTGGAGACGGCTTCGGCATCCTCACTGGACCTCTGGAAGACCCTTCAATGCACTTCCCCTTGCCCGTGTTGCTGGGGTCCGTGCACCAGCCACACCCAGGCTGCTCCAAGCAGTGAGCGCAAGTGAAGTAGCCAGAACAATTTTCAGCTGTGGGGGGGAGAGAGAAAGAGAGAGGCACTGATCAAAAAATAAGCCAACGGTACTTTAAGGCTCCACACTCCGGGTTGGTTGACACGCATCACTAACCTACGGATCGTCCACGCTCCAGCTCAGACTCCTCACTCCCATTCCTACTCTATTTCCTACTCAGAAAATTCAAAACCCGCTCTTTTGTTTGGAAGAACTGCAACTAAAAGACAAGATGTGGAGTGGATTTCTATCTCTTTTCTTGTAGGTGAGGGCTTCTCAAATATTGAATAACACAATTATCATAACTTAAAATTAGGCATGCATAATAAGGGCACCTTGGGAGCACAAATCTCATAGTCATTTTAATGTATCAATTAACTGTACAGAACCGAATTGGAAGGGTCCATGTTTGAAGCGCGTGATGCTTATCTTCAATCACTAGGTGGCAGAGCTCTCTAACCAGCTGATACCTTTGCAGTCAAGGCAGATCAGAGCCAAGGGAAAGTACTAGAAGGACAGGGTCTTAAATCCACCTCATTCCTCTGCTGTGGGTCGGCTGCCACTGGGAACCGCTGGGATGGCCTAGGCCACACCTGGGCATGGCTGCCAGTAGATCAGGGGGGCACAGTGGGTTTGACTCCAACAGCAGTGCACCTCTGCATGAAAGCACTAACACACTAAGGGCTTTTCCAACCCATGTGAAGCTGGGCGCATCTGCTGGTGACGAATGCAGCTGAGCGGAGACTTTATACTTGTGGACTGGCCAGCATCAGGGTACACCCAACAAATACTGCAGGCCAGGCCAGGAATACAAGTGTCTTGTTAGTGATGTCAAAAGATTCTCTAGAATTTTCATGACTTTGGGAAGTGGCTCATTATATTATATTACATTATTATTTTATTTTATGAATGAATGAATGAATGAATGAATGAGACTTCTATGCCGCCCCATTCGCCGAAGTTATGAGATGATGGTCATAAAGGGGACGCCGCTAAAGCCCTACTCAGCATTTTGACCAACAAACCCTCTGAATCCAGACCGCGGCATGATGCCCGCTCCAGCTGGGCCGGGGCTTCGAACCCCGGGCGCCAAGTCCGGCCCAAACATCACGCCCTGGCCGCGCGGTGCGGTGGTGCGTACGCGTGGACGTGTGCGCGGGGCCGCCGATGGGACCGCGGCCCTCATGCCAAGACGCCAAGAGGAGAGAGCACCCCGTGGGGGGGCAGCCACCCTTCTGGAAGACACGCCCCGGGGCGCCGCCGCGGGAGGAAGCCTGCTTACGTGGACAGCTGCTCACGGTGTGCCACTCCATGCACTGGCCGTACGGGAAGGAGGCCACGTAGGCGTTGGAGGCCACGCACTGCCTCTTGTCGCTGCACCACATGCACTCTGAGTTGCTGCTCGTGCACTCGCTGCAGGCCGTCCTCAAGCCGCAGGGGGTGCGGCACTGCTTGGCACTGTGGTTGGCTGCGCGTTCGGAACACAGAGTCACTGCGAGCGGCGTCTCCCACACGAGCCCTTTACACACACTTGCATCTTCCCCACCTCGCTGCAGAAACCCAGGGGAACACTGCGCTGCGGTCGTCAGAGACCCGTCAGTTCCCCTGCCCACCCGGGAGACAGCCGGCTCCTGGCACAGCCTCCTTTCAACATCCCCGCAGCCCCCTCCCTCCCTCGTTAAGCCTTTCTTTGTCACCCCGGCTATGCAGCCGCCTTGCGTTTCCCTTCCACCAAACGGGCTAGAATGCCTCTGAAGTGCAGCGTGTCCTCTCTCTCGAGCATGATACCCTTGCTTTTGAAGCCACACGGTCTGCAGGCACACCAGGCCTCTTGTCCCCCAAGCCTTCCAAGCATCTCTGCTACATAGTCCCTTTTGCAGCAGGAAGGGGCCAAAAGCCTCCTCAGAGTAAGTTGCCCCTCCGAGGGGCATACCGTCTGCCAAGGCCGCCTAGAAGCGCCTGGGCCATCCTACCACAGGCACCTGCGCGGGCTTGCGGCTTGCCTCCATCACAGCCTGCCGCGCACGGTCGGCATGGGACCAGTTCATCTTACGTGCAGGAGGACCGTAGCTCAGTGCACGTGAGCCATGGGCAAGGGGCCCGGGCCCAGGCGCCGCGGACTCCCTGGCAGGGCTGGTGAACAGCCTTGTCCGGGATCCTGGCGAGCAGCTCCGAGCCAGTGTAGGTAGCGCTGCGGGGGCGAGGCCAAGGGGTCTGGCTCAGCCGGAGGCAGCCGCCTGCCTTCCTGGCTGTGCCGGCGGCCGATGCCATGTGGCTCCTTGGCCCATCTCCACGCCTACCCTCCTCAGACAGGCAGAGCAACTTCCTCCGGAGCCTCGCTCACTCTCTTCTTGCCAGAGTCATTTCCACTGCACAGTGGCTGCTCTCGGGTGGCTCCGTCTCGAGCCATCAGACCTCAAGGTGCCAGCGGAAGCCGACCCCAGCTTAGAAGAGCCGGACAGCCGCCGGTGCACAGGCTGAGCCCTCACGGGATCCGGGGGCAAGCCCCTGCAGCGTCCAGCACCCCGCCACCTGGTGCGTGCACCCCCCCCCCGCAGGGGCTCCGCCGCCCCGGCCGAGCGCGAGAGCCGCGCTGAGCCGCGCCTTACCGGGCCGCTCGCAGACGCTGCCGTTCACGACGTTGATGCACGTGGCCGCCTTCAGCCCTCGGCTGCTTGGCTCGGCCAGGTACCCGCAGAACCCGATGTCGCTCGGCTCCCCGGGCAGCCACTGCAGCGACGTGTTCGTGAAAGGAGACATATCTTCCCAACACCAGTACGAGATGTTGATCTTCCGCAGCCCGACCCAGGGTGTTAAGGCTTTGTGCTGGGGGAGGGGAGCGGGGGGAGACACGAATGTTCAGCTGGAGCAGCACCCCCACGGTTTCAGGGGTGTGCTTTAAGGAGGGGTGCTGGCCTAAGGCCCAACCCATGGACATTTTCAGGATGCCAGGATATTCTCTCAGGGACGAAGCTGCTGCCAGGCATCGCCTTCCACGCGTTGGCCTACCGACCACAGCATCCTACATGCGCGCAAGGTGGCTGGCCAGTGAATGAGGGCATTTATGTCCTCCCTCTCCAGCCTTCTCTAGGGCTCACCAACCCGTTCATAAATACGTGGGGCTTCATAACCACGGGTTCCACACAAAACAAAAACAAACCCAGACCCCTAGAACAGTTCACTTTAGCCCAAGTTGTGTCGACACACCAGTGCGGAAGGGAGGTGGAAAGGCGCAAGTTGTGCGGAGGAGACCTCAGAGTGCGCTAGAGCCCTGCAGCTGTTCTCTCGCAGCTGCGCAATGCCTGCATCAAGTTTATGGGTAGTTGGGCCCATCAGGGATGGCTAGATGTGGAGACAGTCCAACAGAAACAAGAAACGAGGCCATATGGAAAAGATCCAGGTAACCCCAGTCATTCCACAGACAAAGCAGTAAAACACACGCACATCACACATTGCTTTTGGATGAGTTAACCGAAAAGAAAAGAAAAAATCATGTTAGCAAGAGATGCCAAAGTTACCTTGGATACAATCTCGCTTTGGAGAAATGCACATTTCAACAGCCCCCTTTGAAAGAGGCTGCTCCATTCAGTTCACACGGGTCTCTCCAAGCACCCGGCCACAACCTCAGAGGTGCCGCGGATCACTCACCGAGGACTGGGTCTTCTGGAGCTCCTTGAGAAGGAATTCCACCTTCTTCTGGGTCGTGAGCGATGCCAGGACAGCATTGTGGTTTCTGCAGGCTAGCTTAGCGTTGTCGTAGCTGTCCTTTGTGTTTGTGATCCTCAGACAAGAATTGCCAACCAAGAGCCACGTCGCCCCACAGATGTTTTCTGCAAAACACACACATTCCTCTTCTCGCTTTGCTTGCGGCGACTGCCCAGGGACAATCTGAGGCCTCCAAGAAATCGCCATCTTGAATACAACTGGCCACTTAACAAGAGACACACTGGGATTAAGGTGGAAAGGAAGCAGCCACGGGAGGAGTTCAACTACGCATGAGTCCTTGGGCCAAGCTCTACGGTGCGGTGGCGCCCCATCTATGAAATGCGCTCCCCAGAGAGGTCCGCCTGGCGCCGTCGCTACTCATTTTTCGGCGCCAGGCAAAGACCTTTTTATTTAAGCGTCATTTTAATTGTTAATTTAATTGTTAATATTGATTTTATATCCTTGGCCAGGTCGACTCAAATTACATTGTTTTTATATTGTGATTATTTATTTATTGATGTGAGTCCCCCCGAGGCCTCGGCGAATGGGGTGGCGTAGAAGCTTCCTAAATCAATAAATAACCCTAACCCTGTGTGAAGTAAGAACCAGACAGGGAAGCTTTAGGAAAAGGCGGTTCGTTTTAGACCCTGAGAAACAACTGAGGCACAAAGAGAACAGCCAAATTAAGTGCGCTTTATGCACTGATATTTCTTACAGACTTGTGTGCTAAACTGATTTGGACAATAACAAAGTGAGCAAACCACAGGAAATACGTCCCGTTACAGACCACTAAAAAAAATTCAGCTTGCACCGGCACGTCAAAAGGAGGGGCCAGGAAAGGATACAAACCTGTCAGGGTCATTTGCACTGCCACTGTCACTGTCTCAGGTCAACCCAGTGCGATTTGGGAAGGAGGGGATCAGACAGCAGCCATGCTTCCTCCCGGCACGTAGCCTCAGGAGGCCAGTTCAGGACGTCCTGCAGATCGCTGCCTACAGCCCTGACCTGCCTGCAAAGAGCTCTACACGTCGGCCTGCACCACAGACAGCTAAGGCGATGCTTAAAGCCCCAGCTGCTGCTGCATGGAGCATGGCCCAACCCGGCACCGCTGGATTCTGCCTCGGCCTGCTGCAGACAAAGGAACTGTTGGTACTGACTTGGTACAACCTCGATTGTAATTCTGGCTGCGCTATAGATTATGGCCCCTGAGGGGAAGGGAGGCAGACCAATACTCTTGGGAATTTCTATCTATCTATCTATCTAGCTATTTATTTATTTATTTAGGGGCCTTCTATGCCGCCCCATTCACCGAAGCCTCGGGGCAGCTCACAAACCATAAATAAATAGAATTCAATAAAACAATATAAATTAACAATATAAATTAAGTCGCCCTGGCCAAAGAATAAAATGAATAAATAATATTAACAATTAAAATAACATTTGAATAAAAAGGTCTTCGCCTGGCGCCGAAAAACAAATAACAACGGCGCCAGGAGGACCTCTCTGGGGAGCGCATTCCATAGAATTCTGCGTTCTGAACTTGGCAAGTGCGGAATATGAAGGCCCGTGCAAAAGATTCCGTGTTTGCGTGAATTCAGAACCTGGCAAGAACATCCTCTCAACCTCTGCATCCCCCCCACCCCCTCCTCCGCTGCAGCAAAAGCAGAGAGCCCCTGGCCACTCCAATTCCCTCACGGCCACTCGCCCACAAAGGCAGTCTCCAATTGGTTCGGCTTGATGCTAATCATACAGCAAGCAACCAGGTTTAATTTAAAACCGTGCTCCATGGGACTGTAGCTTTGATTAGCCACGGCTGGCTTTCTTTCCACTCCGGCAGGCCAGGAGTCCTCACCAGGTAAACCTTGAAGACGGTCCGGCTATTTCAGTCGCTTCAGAACAGAGCTGCCAGGTTACTAACGGGAACTGGCAGGTTTTCGCATGTAACGGCTACCAACTGAAGTCCGGGCCCAATTTAAGGTGCTGGGGATGACCTACAAAGCCCGATACGGCTTGGGTCGTGGATACCTGAAGGAGCGCCTTCTCCCCCATGTGCCCTCCAGCCCCTTGAGATCGGAGGCGGAGGTCATTCTTTGGGAGCCCTCCTTGAAAGAGATCAGGAGGGTGACCACCCGGAGGAGGGCCTTCTCTGTGGTGGCGCCCCGACTGTGGAACATGCTCTCCAGGGAGGTCCACCTGGCGTCGATGCTTCTTTCCTTTCGGCGCCAGGCGAAAACCTTTTTATTCTCCCACTATTTTAACTGCTAATTTGATTTAATCTGTGGTTTTGCACCTATCCTGGATGCTGTGCTACTCTCACTTTTATTCCATTTTGTCATTGTTGTTGTGAACCGTTCCAGGATGCTTGTGATGGGATGGTATGCAAAAGTTTTAAATAAATAAATACAGCGCAAACACGGCAGAGGCAGGGCTAGTGGGGCAGCAGCCCAGCAAGAAGCGCCCTCCTACTCTTCCCTCAAACCTGGCACTGCTGCTGCGAGACGGGCTGCCAAGCACCTCCCTTCCCCACCATCTGGTGGCTCATCTCCCCGAGATCTCACACAGCTGCGAAGAGGAGCAAATTCACTGCTAGAGGAGAGCTCAAGACCGTAAGAACCAAGCGACCCTTGAGATCGGAGGCGGAGATCCTTAGGGAGCCCTCCCTGAAAGAGATCAGGGGGGTGACTACCTGGAGGAAGGCCTTCTCTGTGGTGGCACCACAGAGAAGGCCCTGGGTGGAGGAAGCCGGCCGGGGCTCTTGCCCCCCTGTCCTGCCCTACAAGCCCTCCTTGGTACCACAAGCAGGCTTCTTTTCCCCCTGGTGCAAGGAGAGGATTTCTCACTCGTTGAGCGTGGGTGGGCAGGGAAAAGCTCATCCGGATGTTACACCCCGAAACACCGACCTACCGGGCAAAGCAATGCATTCTTGATTCCGGCTTTCCCACTGACAGTTCTGGTCCAGGCCACAGCTCTTACAGCTGGTCTTTTTGTTACAGTAAAAGGCAGGATTATCCTTTGGGCAATTTTCAAATGCAGCAATGGGAGTCTAAAAGAGAGAGCAATGGGTAAGCCTTTTCGGTCACGACGTACACAAGGAGAATCAAGCATTCTGCAAACGGGGCAACCGGATGAGTCCATAAATGCAGCCGCAAACGTATTCGCTGAGGAGACGAAGCAAAAACCAGCATAAGCACCCCAGTCGAGCTGTAATATGGCAACCTCGCTTATCAAAGAACCTTGAATGCCTGTGGGACCCCCCCCGCCCGCCCACCACTTGAGTTTTTACAGGAGGGAGATGATGCCCTTTGGCCCACACTGCGCATGCGAGCATCCTCACAGCACAAGGCTTTGGTCCACCCCAAACTGGAATCCCACAACACCTCCCAGTAAGCTCCGTTTTGCCACTGATTCCTCCTGTGGAGCAGCCAGGCGAGGCATCTCAAGGGCCGTGACTCTAGGGCTGGAACTGGGCAGCCACCTGCTGGCCAAACAGCCCGCACGCGTCCCTCTGGGAGTGTCTGGAACACCACAGGAAGCGGCCGCAAGGCAGCTGGGGGCCACCTGCTTTTAAGCCGTGTGAAAGTATGCCAGGACCAGCAAGGACAGAGGGAGAGCAGCCCCGAAGGGTGGGCCATCCGGAGTTAGCGTCCTGGATGGGCTGAGCCAGGTAACCGTGCAGGTACCATACAGGACAGACAGGTGACCATCACCACCACCCAGTGATGTCATTTGCAATTCCGTGCTGCACCCCGCGACAGGAGAACTGCAGCGCCAGAATCTCAGCTCTCATTTTAAACCGGCCCCGTTAAACCTTTAAGCTGCAGAGCGGCCTGGAAGCACATAAGCAACAGCTTGAAGAGCCAGAGGGGGGACCAAAGAGGATTTTCCGGGGCAGGGGGTGGGGGCGGCAGAATCCTGCATGCCGCTCAGTCCCCTGCGCATCTCTGAGTGTGTGCTTGTCCGTACGACAAGGGAAGGATTTCACAGCGCGTATAAAATCCTCCTCCTGCTTCCCTCCTCCTCATTTATGGGGCTACAGAACGCAATCGAAGCTGCCCACCCGGGCTCGTCAAGGTAGCCGCGACTGCTGGCAGGCGACTTCCTGGCCGTGGGAGGGAGGGATGCTCGGAGGTGAGCTAGGAAGCGATTACCTGGTCTTCTGAGCAGTTGCTGCTCCGCGACACACACTGGTCTGTGCACCAGTGGCACTTGTTTGTGTTGGCTGTACAGCTGTAGCAGTCTGTAATCTGATCACATTTTTCATGGTCGACAACTAGCCGGCAAGAGAAGAGGGGAAAAAACCCGCATGAGCAGACAAAGGCTTCCCCTGACCACGTCCTACAAGGCCGACTCGCCTGCAGATGTCACACGCACGTGACGGAGGGGCCGCTCGGCCTGCACTGCCTACCTGTCCAGGGCGGGCATTCCTCAGCCGCTCTTTGTTCTTGCTGCGCCGTGGCCATTTCCCAGGGGAGGCACTGGGAATTGGAACTGTTCCACACACATCGGAGCCCAGGGCCGGCCCTCACGCAGGAGGTCTCGTTGTTGTGCACTTCACAGCTTTCTGGGGTGTACTTCACAATGTCGCCCAACAAGAGGCTATTAAAGCCTCCAAAGAGATACATGGTGCTGACCAAGGAAGGAAAGGAGAAGGGCCGGATGAATGGCTTGCGGCTTCTTCACGGTATACAGCACACGGCACTTGTCGCGGACTGGGCTGCGGCCCTCTGAAGCGGGCCCATGGACGTTCACCCGTGTCCAGTCCGCGCATTCCCATCCCGTGCGATGCCGCCACCCATCCGCAGTGGCCCTGGACGATCCGCAGCCCATGAGCCACCGAGGGACAAGCCTGCTGCTCTCTCTGCCCAGCTGGGACTGCCCCTCCTCCTGAAAGGCCACACCGACCGGCAGGGGGCACGGCTCACACATGTGGCTGGACTGCACGTGGCCCGGTGGCTCCCGAGCGCTGCAGGCTGGTGCCACAGACAGCGCGCCTCTTTCCTGTGCTCATCAACTTCTCTTCAGGGAAAAACAAAGACCAAAACGAATCGAGCTGATTACACTATAGTGAAGAGCAAGGCAGGGGACCAGCAGGAGCCACACTGCGGGACTACACACCAGTGCGAAAGGGCGTGATCAGGTCAATGGCTCGGCAGTGAGCTGCCAAGAGTCTCACAAACTCTTTTTAAAGGATGCTTCTAGTCCTCATGGCTACAGAGAAAACTGGCAACAGAGCACTGGCCTGAAGAAATATTAGGAACGGGAGAAGGGCGAAGTGCACTCCGAGGAGCGAGGGTTCCAGCTTCACCCGTTATTCTTTACTGGTCTGCACTTCCACAGGCCACCCCAGGCCAGTCCGCCTGCACTCCCACTCTGCCGTCCTGGGCTAAACCCCTTAAGGCTTCTGGCCCTTGGGATTTCCAATCAGCTTAAATAAATACACCAGAATACATTCCGTGTTATGCATTCACACACGCATATACACACAAATGCATGAGCGAATAGCTCACATAATGTATTGTGATTACAGAATTCCTATTCCTTCAGTGCAGAAGTGTTAAAGAACGCAGTATGCCCAGAAACTGATAAGTTGGCTGAGTACCACCTGCACAGAATGGAAACTGGACTTCCAAAAGGGGTTTTTTTAAATGAACCCACAGAGTGTGGGAATGGCTTCTTTGTGTACCTTAAGACAAAAAACTGTGGCTGTACAGATTAAGTGATGGATGGCTGAAGTCAAATGCAGAGCGAAAGATACAAGGAGTTCAAGAAGGAGCTAACAGTAACAAACCAAAGCAGTGAACGGCTTTTGCCCAAGAGAAGATTTAAGACGGAGCTCTCAAAAAGGCGATAAAACCATGTTGTTATGATAGGAGGTACATTAGCTAGCGAATGGGGTGGAAAAGCCGAGTTGGAAATTGTTGTTCAAAGCAACGATGGAGGCAAAACTCAATGAGCTAAGCCATCGTGTTTCAAAACTGGTAAAAGTACTTTTGCACAATTAACCCATTGAGTTCATTACCGTGGGAAGGTAATAGTAAAGCAACTAGCATATCTGGGGGGGGGAAACAAAACAAGGGGAACCCCCACCCCCCCAAGGAGCAGCTCAGATTCGGGCCCACTGCAAAAGCCCACTGGTGTGGTCCCGACACAAACCTAATGCTTCCTGCTAAGAAAAAAGCATCAAAACTGCAGACAGATTGTCACATCCAGGCATTCTGCACACCTACAAGCAAGCAGTGGGCCAGGACGCAGCAGCTAATGTCCTGGGACAGCCACCTCACGTGGCAGCTACACAGCCTGTGCGTGTCCCATGCTCCCCTGCCCGCCCGCCCGCCCGCCAAGCCACAGCTGGCCATCCCGATCAGCCATTGGTCCAGAAAGTTTTACTTCGTGAAAGCACCACATGGTGACCCTCTTCGGCCTAGCAGAAGCCCTCCAGCACCGCTATGCCATGAGCCATGTAACAGTACGGACTATCCTGCCCCCATGGGTCAGAGGTCTCCGCAATCACCTCCCGTCTTTTCTCCATCGAATGTATTCAGACAACGAGCATTAAGGAACGAGAATTAATGACAGCCCTCTACAGTGTAAGCCACAGAATGGCTCCCCGCCCCCCAGAGGCAGCCCCCGGTGTGACTGCCCGACGTTCTGTCCCCGGGATTTACAGCAGCTGCAATGACGACAGCCATCCATCTCCTAACGTGACCCATTATTTGGGGGAAAGCATGCAGAAGCAGGCTGTGCCCCCCTCTCCCCACCCCCAGAATAATGCGAAAGTACCGCGCTCTTACTTGTTGCTCAGCACGGCAGAATGTCCAAACCTGTTGACATCGTGGGGAAGGTCAGGCAGAGGAAGCATAGACCAGTGATCGCAAGCTGGAAGCAAGCAAGAACTTCATTTCAAAACAGCTCCTTCAGGCACGTTCACCAGTATTTTTGGTGGAACACCGTCTTACATGGCTCCAGAAGCGATTTAAATCGTGACACAAGGACCCCATTAGCTGTACAGAAATGCTACAGTGCTTCAAAGAAACACAAGCAATACACACTCCTCCAAGGCTACAGAGATAAGGTAAACGTAGACATCATTGCAACTATTTTTCCTAGCCCCTTCACAAACTTGTATAAGAAAATCACTTTTCGCTGCGCCAAAGAAAGTTCCTTCTCTGAAGACAACTAGCTTCTCCTCCCCACCCCACCAAAAAAAACTGCTTTAGGCCTAGACGGTTAAATCCCAAAACAATTTAATCGAATTGCATAAATATTTGTCATCTGCAGCTGATGTCACAGATAGGTACAGTTGTGTCACAACTCCAGTTGTTAGAGCTCACTGGGGCTTTAAGGAGAAGAGGACGGCAAATGATGCAGAATCTCTTTTCACTACCCTCAACCCTGACCCCCGTTATCCTAATATTTAGATCTTGTTTCACGTTTGCTTTCCCGGATTCCCCCGTTATTCAAGAACTGTACAGTCACCCCAACCAAAAGCAACTGATAAAGTAAACAGAGATCCGTCTATAAACTTTAAAGTTTGCTTAATGCGGTATCTTTGGGCTAATGTCTCAAAGCACTTCCTGTCTAGAAAATCGTGCCTTCTCTCTTCTTGAGATTCAGGTTCTTTGGGGTCAAAAGCAACAAATGCTGATTTAAGCATTTAAGTTTTACATTGCTTTACTTTAATCAAATAGAATTAGGGGGTTAATAAAAATGTGCAAAGGAGGAAAACAGGCTCCAGACTGCTACGGGATGTCAGATGAATATTTGACACATTGAAAAATAGCATTATGGTGCCTCTGCAAAGCTCATCCCAGGCTTCCAAACCAGACACAAAGACACCATTCAGAATCACGCCAGTGAATGGTTTGGGCTACCTATAATTTGGAACCCGAACAGACTGAACTTCCAAGCATACAGGCAAAGCACGGTCCAGAACTCTTTCCTCGTTTTCCTCCTTTCTCAGTCTCCTGCGTTTGCTTTTGCCCACAAGATGCAGCCCCCTCCGGAGGCACAGTGGCAGCTGGAAATACGGCCCATCCACTCCAAAGCCATGCTCAGCCCAGTTCACACGTGCCCGATTCCAAATGCGTTCAAGGCCCTGGCTTCGACGATTCAGATATACCCCGGACCACAGGGGATGAACCAAGCCTCCCTGCGAGCCCTTGACCGGGGTACATAGAACAGCTGCTCTTGCAAATGCTTTGGGCAGTTGGCCATTAGCAGGGAGGGGAATTGCTAGGGTTCGGGATGGGACTTGGTTGGATCCGTGGCATTCAAAGAGGAGTCTGTGGATGACTTTAACTGCCCGCAGAAATTATACTGGGTTGTTCTGAAGTAATCACAGCACATTCGCTGTGACAGCTCAACGACTCAATGGATAAATGCGCTACTCCTGTTTTTAAAGGCAGATCTAAGGGAAAGTGAGTCAGGGCGTTCAATGGTGTTTCTCTTCATCCAGCAAGCAGAGAGCTCTAAGGCCAAGGAACATATTTTTGTAGATTAGGAGTAGTTGGAACATACCTGTTTCTACGTGGCTTTCTCCCTGTTTTGCTGGCAACCAAGTACGGGGCAGAAAGCTAATGGGCCTGAAATTACCAAGAATTATTTCCTTCCTGACCTTTGAATTAAGCCAACCTTAGCTTTTTATCTCCGAGATCCACAAGAAGTTGTAACTGTTTGTGGTTCTTAAAATATGTCCCGCTTCTCAGGGAAACCAGGGCTGGCATTTCGATGCATGCTCATATAGCCCTACCCAACCTGGCACCCCTCCCACACGTGTTGGACTACAGCCCCCATCAGCCGCAGCCAGCGTTCCTAATGGCCATGGTTGGTGGGGAAGACGTGAGAAGCAGTTGGGCATCTGTGGGGACACCAGTTTGGGGGAGGCTTCAAGTGCGAAAGGGCTATGCAATCAGGAAAAGCTTTACTGGGCTTTTGACAACTTTGAAGCAATCCATGTTTAAAAACACATGCAACACTAGAAATACAGGCACTGAACTCTTCTCCGGAAAGGGATTAGCAAAAATGATTGCTGGGTCACAGCTTGTGGGGAAAATGAATTGTTCAAAAAGTCCAGGAATTACAGTGAGGTCTTTCTACAAACCCAGATACAGCATTAAGAGATGAGCTGGATTTTATTTTTCTGTGTATAAACTGATCCTTATCCTGCGTTAGGAAAAACAGCGCTGTGGATTCGTGGCATGCTGCCCTCTTCTGGCCATCCAAAGTTTGCGTGGCCTTTTTAATCGGGTCGCTGCCACACAGGAGTTTTAGTCCCAAACATAGTTACCCACCCAGTGCCCGCAACTCCCACTCCCGGGGAGCACGCACTGGTCCTGCTGCCCACAGGGCTGCTCCTGCTCTCACGAGATGCACAGCTAGTTAGGTCCAGCGTGAGCCGGTCCCAGAACAGCCCCTTCCCGTGCAGGACGGCAAGAAAGCGGCTTGAGCTCACTGCACAGGCACAGGAAAAGTTCGCTCAGGTGCACTGTTAGCAGTCTTATGATTTTCCTTGGCTTTCCAGGAACTAAACTCACACACAACCTAAACTGGCCTTTCGATGGAAGGATGCGCATACTCCGAAAAGGCAAAAGCTGGGCACCTTTGCCAAGAAAACATTTGCCACGTTTCCCCGGCGGCAGGCATCTTTGAGCACAAGGTCTGGAGCTGGCGGATGAAGCTCTGAGGCGAGCATTGCCTCTAGCTGATCACAGAAATGCTGGCTGCCTGTCTTGAAGGTAACGTGAGCCAGTGCGGCCCAGGACTGCTACCAGCTACCATTTTAGGCAGTTCTGCTACCGCAGATTTTCTCATGAAGGACAGAGCCATGTGCAGAATCTGACAGGGCAACAGCAGAGCAAACAGCGGTGTCTGAAGTACAGGGCATAAATATCCAGAATAAATCGGTAAGCTGCGACTTGTCCCCAGACAAAGCAGGAAAAAAGCAAGCCCTGCGGTTAAGCTGCCCTCACCATTTTGGATAAGCAGAAAAGGAGGAAAGAACAAAGTAGCAACTCTTGGGCTCTAACTGCAATGCTTCAAGTAAACAGGACTGAGTGGTTTGCTGGGTCTTAAATGGGAGGCAGGGCTGGGGTGTGGGGCAGGGGGACCTTGCATCTTGGCAGATCGATTTTTGGAAGACTTGAGATTTGTTAGCAGGGAGTTCGTTCAGCATCCAAATGGGACTTACCCAGGTCATATGCCATGAAGTCTGAGGAAAAGCACTTGGCACCATGGCTCATGGAGGTGTCGTTGTGAGTGTTTCCTCCGAAAACAAGCATGGTCCCGCTGATGATCACCGCAGAGTGCAAGTATCGGGAGAGCTTGCTCTCTTTGAGAATCGTCCTGCAGGAAGAAAGAAGCAACGGGTTCAAGGGCACCGCCGCCGACTTCTAAGTCAAGCGAGACTGACTGTGCCTGAAAGAAGCACGGCTTGCGGGTGGCAAGTCAGAGGATCCGAGTGACACGGGGGAGACCCAAATGACTCGCCGCTGCCCGGTGCCTTGCTCGTAAAGGCCTTTTAGCAACGAGTGCCTTCGGGAGAGCAGGAGGGAAACGCTGCGAGAGGATCCCCCGCTGGGCCTACACTCCCTTCTCCTCTGTCCTCTCACACCGAGCCAGGATCTTGTACTGGACCGAATCTTTTGGCATTAACACTTGGTTATTAACCGGGAAGGGGAGAGCGAGCATGAGCTGTTCTACTGCCCCTCTGGCCAAGTCTCCCCACTGGAATATCTAGGTGGGGAACCTGCACTAACCTTCAAGAGGGCCTGGCATAAGGACCAGGTTCGGCTTGACAGTGGGGTTTCATTCATCAAAGCCAGGCAGCCAGCGAACCGCTATAAAGCGGCATACAAAGCACATTCTGCTGTGTGAGGCTGCAGAATATTCCCACTTGAAACTTCCCCCAAGAAAAAGACCTATGTAAATAGGATTTATTTATGTTATTATTTATTAAAACATTTTTTAATAAATAATAAAATAAAAGGATGGTACTGAAGCAATCTCTGCATACTTTACGTCAAGCATATCTCCTCTTCTGTTTTAGACTCTACTTCCTAAGCAAAGGGTAGAACCTGTAAGCAGGTTGCTTACACTGCCACCAGCTCCCAGATGCCCCACACAATGAAGCCCAGCACTTCGGCAAGGGAGATGCAGTGTGTCTCTGAAACAAGGAAGCCCCGACACAAATGGAAATGCTTATTTTGGGGCGATGGCGGGTGAGTGGAGCTCCTTTAGGTGACCTCCATTTCAGCTTGCTTTGGATGGCCTGGAAAGCACGGAATCAAATTTGTGCGGTAGAGGGAGGACTCAAGCTCGCACAAGAGAATTGGCAGGGCACAGAAGTCGGTGGGGACGTAAATGCCCCATTGGATTCTGCCCCGAGAGGATCATAACATACTTCCTGTTTCCCTCCTCCTGCACCTTAAGGCTGTGTATCTTAATTAACTCCTTCCTGCCAATCATGCACGGGGGATCTCCATACACACGTCGGGATGGGCAGCTCAGTGTACTGCTCTCCTTAGCAGCTCCATGCGAGTTCTTCCAGAAGTCTGCCTCATCGTTTCCATCCATCCATCCTTATCCATCCATTATTTTCTACTCATTTAGGCCCAACGTATATCTTTCTGTATGTTGTGACCCATTTTGTGAAAGATTTTATCTGAGCGATGGTATCACACAATTTGGAGAAATGCAAGAACAGAAAAATAAAAATAATTGCAACTCAGTCCATGACTGGGGACATGCAAATCGGGTGAGTGAGCAAAAAAATGACAGAAGAGCATCCTCACACCGCATCCATCCAAGTACGGTTAGTGCATCGATCAATGTTTCCATAGCACAGGGACTGGGCCTGTTCTGCCTAGGAAAAGAATCCTTCAGGGGATGTGGGAACGATTCTGAATCAGAGGAAGCGGCAGGGTGCACATCTGCAGCCAGACTGCCAAGGCCAGAGAACAGCGCTAAGCTGAGAGATCACGGAGAATCAGTTACATACTGTGTGAAACCTTAGCAAGCAGGCGAATGAGGAGGAGGGCAGATCAAGCCTCATGAGGCAAAGGCAGAGGCAAAGGCAAGCAGCAGGATCTGCCTTGAAGGCAAGGTTTGCCCATTTCAATTTGAAAGCCGAGACAGGTGTTTAGTTTATCCTTATCCTGAAGCTGCTTTTCCCCAGCCACCAGTATCCTAACTTGGCTTGGCTTCTCTGCTAGTGACTTCTGCAATCATTTCGGTTTGTACTTTGCAGCAGGCCTGGTTGGTCCACATTAACATAACAATGCCTTTTAGTTAGAAAGCAAAGCCATTGTCCTGGCCTGCTTGGAAGGAGGGGGGGCGGACTGGTTGCCACACGCAGGTGTCTCTCCAGGATCCTGCCTGGGCATCGCGATGAACACAGCTGGCTCCTGCATTACAGCAGCATTTCCCCAGGGTTTCAGTTTTTAAGTCCAGGCACAGAAGGTTCCGGCATCGACCAGGATACCAAAGTTCTTCAGCAGGCTACCTGAAGTGCCAAAGCAAATCCAGATACCTACCACTTGTATGTGTTGACTTCATACTTGTACAAATCGTCAGTCAGCCTGTATTTGTTGGCACTGAATGCCTTGTAACCCCCGTGGGTGTAGACGGACTTGGTGCTCGGGTCATACACGCTGCTGTGGCCGTAGCCTCCTTGCACCAGGGCTCCGGTCGTCTGCAAAACGCTCCATGTGTTCCTTGCTGAAAGAGGGTAAGAGGCAGACATGAATGGTCCAACGCCTCACTGTTTTTTACACTTGTCATTGTTCTTGTACTTGGTTGTAAACCAGAGCGCTTCGGCTATGGATGACACAAACAACAAACAAACCACCACAAGTATGTTTGTTTGTTTGTTTGCTTTATTTCTATGTTGACCCAATCGCTGAGGCTCTTTGGGCAGTCGGCACACAATTTCCCAAAGAGCAATAAAAAGGGACAGGTAGACATATTTAACACGGTAACTCCTCACAGAAGGGATGGTCTCCCTTACACCAATCCTTCCTGCTGCTGGATAAGAATGCTCCTCTGCTTCTTCGCCCCTCTTTACACTTATTTATTTATTTTTACATTTGTATGCCGCCCCGTACTCTAAGCGGAGACTCTGAGTGGACTAGCAGACTTCCATTGGCAAGCAAAAGGCAACGGGGTGCTTTAACTAGTCCCTATACTTGGGATTTTTGATGTGCACATGGATTTAAATGGTTACCTAACCCCAAAGTGACGGGTTCCTGGTTCCAGGGATGGTAATGGTAAAGCACTAGATTCCCACTGTTTCAGCACACTAACAGGCACAGACGGTCTACATCCAATTGATAAGGCTCTGGCAGAGGGACGGGCGAGAGAATGGGAAGAGGCAGGTGAACACCAGGGAGCTGAGGGGGAGCAGATACCTGGCAATGGAAACGCAAACCAGGCGGGGCCGCAACAGTAGTAACAACCACGGAGAAAACACTGAGGGCGTCCAAAGGAATTGTGCCGGGAGACAGAGGGAGTGCCTCGTTCTGTGGGGTGGCAGCTGACGGGCAGAGAATTAAGGAGGCGGGCGAGTAAAGGCAGCATGGCGGAAGCCTGCAGGAAAGATGGACCCTGGAGGGATGGCACGCAGCTGGCCTTACCAAGAGGGCGCTCAGGGGAGGAGAGGGGCAGGCTAGGGCAGGCAGCGGCCCGCTCCAGCCGGGATGGCACTCCGCCGCAGCGGAGATGCCAGGCGTCCACGTCCGGGCAACACCTACCCAGATTGTACTCCTGCACGCTGCTGATGTATCCGTAAAGGGCGCAGTGCCCAAAGATGACGAGCATCACCACACTGCCGCTGTCCAGTGTGACGATGTGCGCCGAGTGGCCCACCACGGCGTACTGCTCCTTGGCCTTCGGGGTCACGTGAACCCATGACTGGTTTGCAATATGGAATACCCACAGCTCACTGGTTACGTTCCCCGTTTCGTCTATCTTCCCTCCGTACATGTAGATTTTATTCTAGAAAGAAAACCAGAAGAACTGTTTTTACATGACAATGCACGGTGCGTAAACCTGACCCATTCAAGAACTCAAATTTGCGCCAGCAAATGCAGGCGTCACACTTGGCTTTACCCGGTACAGCGAGGGCTGATCGTTAGCAGTAGTGCAGCAATGCCTGCTGCTTGCTAGCCAATGTCAAGAACCACCAACAGCCTAGTAAGTGACCCAGTTTCAAGCTCACAGCCACCATTTACTGGTAAACAGTAGCATTTTAATAGGAGTAGTTAATCAACAAAGAAATCGCCCAGAGCCCGTAGACTAGTGACGACTGACAGCTTTCTCCTCCATGCATCTGTCTCCTCTCTTTTAAAGCCCAGTCCACATGGAAAACTGCCTGCTTTCCTGGAGACAGGTGTGACTGAGGCAGGTCCCGGTTTCAGGCAAGATGAGGGCCAGGGCCTCGCGGACACCAACAAAAGCCACTTACTTCATGCAAGGACAGCGAATGCCCGTATCTGATCGTGACCGCGTTCACACTGCTGTTCAGGGGCAGCCATTCCTGGGAATTAAGGTCATACCTGCATAATGAAAAGGATAAGTTACACTGGCGTGTCCTTCGGCACTCAGGCACAATGCTGCTATTTATACCTTCACGACGCAGGCGGGGTCAGAATAAAGCAAGCCGAGTAAAAGGGCTGAAAAGAGCATTTATGGATAAGCCGAGTGTACAAATGAAGCCACGGGTGACTCGGGCATCACTGTTCTGTTGAAAATATAAACTGCCGAGGGGGGTCTTTTGCTTTTCGGGGGGAAATGTATCCCTGTAGTAACATGTTCAAGCAACCCATGGAGGAAACAGTGCAAGGAAGAGAACTGGTTTCGTTTAGTGTGGTCTTCAAATATTCTGCTTGCACTCCCTGCGGCGCTGCGGATGAGTCGCCGTGTTCCAGTCTTTTTACCCTGAAGTTCAAGGGCCACATGCCTGCTAAGCAGACACTCACATGAGCTGCCAGTTCTGCACTGCCTTTACTGAAGACAGCCGTACTGGTTTCGTGAGGTTCCATACAGCCAGAAAACACTGTCAGGGAAAGACTCCCCTTATTACTGTTTATTAAACATCGAACTCTACTTCCCCCCCTCAACAGCCCTGAACACGGTCCCAGCGAGCAGCAGCAGCAGCAGCCGCCCAGTGCTGCGGAGGCGCTGCGTCATCCAGCATCCACACACAAGAGCTGCGTGGGAGCAGTGGCAGGCCGGGCCATCTTGGGGGTCCCCGCACCCCAGAGCACCGGAATGAAGCGACAGAGACAGAAGGGGCGTGGAGGACACTGAAGCCGTGCCTCTCCTTGGGACAACTAAGCCATGGAGCATAGCACCAGGATGATGCCAGGAAAGAGTGGGAGTAAAGAAGCAAGAGAGCTGAGCATCGGGTTTTAGTTTAGCTGCAAAGTCGTGCCCGACCCATCACGACCCCATGGACAGCATTCCTCCAGGCCTTCCTGTCCTCCACCATCCCCCGGGGTTCACCCACCGCCCCAGTGACCCCATCCAGCCACCTCATCCTCTGCCGCCCCCTCCTTCTTTTGCCGTCAATTGTTCCCAGCACCAGGTTCTTCTCCAGGGAGCCCTTCCTTCTCATTCGGTGGCCAAGCATTTGAGTTCCGTCTTCAGGATCTGGCCTTCTGAAGAGCACTGGGTAGGCCCAGCGATATACACTGCCAACAGTCTGGCAGCTCGGCTCAGCCCAAGGTAGGACAAACCACTGAGCTTGAAGCAAAGCACCCTTGGTAGTCCCAGGGCTTGCTCCCACTGCGAGGTGCAACTTTTCTGGATCCCCATGTGCAAAGCTTGGCAGGTGCCCTGCTGAGGCGACACACTCGGCACGGAGGCCCCCAAGGTATCAGAAGGGCTCAGGTGTGCCGCCAGGGCTGCTGAGCCGGACGAGAGAAAAGTGTGCTGCCGCAATGCAGCAACGGGTGCGTCATGCTGCTCGCTCTGGACACACGGGCAGTGCAAGCAGAGGGCACAAACGCCGGCCCGGAAGTGTGGGTCCCGCCCGAGGGAGGCGCATGCTTGGCAGTGGATCACAGGCACATGCAGCATGTGGGGCAAACTCCAGAAGGATCACGAAGGAACACGAGGTCCTGCGCATGCGCCACCTCCCAGGGGGCCTCCACTCTGGGGCACTGATGCTCAAGACTGAGATGAGCCCAGGAGTCAGTCACCTGGGCCCACCGCTAGGAAGCCGGAGACCTACAGAAGTAGGTCTGCGGGAGTTACTCGATGGTGCTTCCACCTGCTGATCTCCCTGGAGGTGAGGGGGGCTCAGGTTATCCTCACGCAAGGCCAGCCGCCACCGGCCCCTGCAGGCTTCCCGGAACAAAACGGACGGGCAGAAAAAAGCACTTTGGCAATACCAGACAGAACGCAGACGTGCGAGCCAACCTGAATGAGGAGCCCCTTGGCTGAAACACCTGGGCCCAAGCTCTGCTTCCACACAGTCACGCCGTGGTGACTTCTGCTGGGTTCTTTATAAGGACTTGGTCCTAGGGAGGCGCAGGAGCCCCGTGAGCCGTGACTGTGCCATGCAGTTCCTGGAATGCCCCACGGTGGGGAGCGATCCCTCCACAGGGGAGAGGTCCGACGTCTGGGTCTGCCCCCGGTGTGCACATGGTAACCCCGATCCTGCGTGACTCTCGCAGAGGAACCAGGTACCAAGACTTGGAAAAAGCAATGGAGTTTCTCCCAGATCAGCCACAGAAAGACCTCTGTCTGAGCTGGGGAGCAGATGAGTGGGAAGATGCCCGTCCCATGAAATGGGCCGCCACGGTGAGCCTGGGGGTCTGTCTTCACCAGCAGGAGGGCAGTGGGGCTGTAGAGCTCCACTGGTGACGAGCCCCTCAGAGGCGCTGGCCTCCCCAACCCAAGTGAGCCCCCCAGGGTCTTCCAGAACCACCCTCGGCCCCCAGATGGCCACAGCCGGCCAGCCACAGGTCTAGGAGGGCAGGAGCCGTGCCTGACGCCAAAGCAGACCATAAGACTCCCTGCGTTTGCTTAACGAAGCATTTCTAGGCTGGCTTTTAAGAAGCCCTCACAGAGGCAGTTTCCAGAAGAGCAGAGGGGGAGAAGGTCAGCACCTCACAGGAGCCTGCAGTTCCACACGCAAAGGTAAGGCACCCTCTTTAACTGGAGTGCAGTTGCATGGAACTGGCCCACGCACCCTGCGTGCACATGCGCACACACGCACTGCCATTTCCATGTTCATCTTGCGAAGCTTCGTCTTCCATTCTACTCACGCCAAAACCATCTCGGCATCCGTGTGGTTGAACAGGTAGCCTCCGACCACCCACATGACGTCATCTTGGACGACGGCCTTGTGGGAGGCTCTGGGAAGTTTGGGGATGTAGAACTCTTGGTGCGTCCAAAACGAGCGGTTCGCCGGAACAGGAACTGAGCAATCAGTACCTGGAGGGAGCAGAACATGGGCACCAGTTGCCTGTCGTACACTGGCAGAGCGTACGTACATTGGCCACCTCATGGAGTGACATTTAACTAGGGTCAAGCGCTCCACGACACAGAAATGGCACGGGCACAATGTGGTCGCGACAAGATGCCAGCGCCCTTTGCCCACAGGGGCTCAGAGTGACGCTCCTGTGACAGGAAGGCAGGCTGGCGGACCGGAGACCTCGATGCAAGGCCGAGCGGCCGTGGGGCTCGCTGCCGCAATGGGGCAGGGAGCCAGGCGGCGGAAAGATGGGGTGCGAGGGACCAGAGGCCCCAGCGGACACGGACGCGTGCCGTGAGCCCAACTCCTCCCCTCCAGCAGTATCAGCCTCACCAGTGTTTCTTTGCTAACTCTCTTTATTACTGCATGGGTGCCTCTGAGCGTACACAGAGCAACGTGTTGAGCCCTTTCTGCCATTCCTTGCCTGGGGGAGGAATGCTGAGAAAGTGGGCTTGCCTTCATTCCTCCCATCGTGCCCCTAGCTGGACCTCTCCCCAAAGAGGACCTTTAGCTGCCAAGTCCACCCCTTCTGGAGGCAAGGATTCCCCATTAGAAAAACCACCCATTTCAATGTCTCCCCCCTAAAGCTGCAGCTCCTCCCGATTCCCATGGCCAGGCTGATGGGCCCCTCTGTCTCCCCCACAGCTACTTCCTGTGGAGTCTCAGAATCCGGAATGGCAGTCGGCATCTGAAGCATTTCAAAAACAGTCCCATGCTCAGAATCTGAGCTGCCAGTCCTGCCAGAGCCGGTAGCCTCCCGTGCGCACGCCTGAGATGCGACAGGATGTATGTGCACGGGAAGAGTAAACAAGGCTTAGAGGGTGTGGGGCGAACTGGGAGAGGAGGAGGAGGGAGGCCAGGGGCAAGTAAGCACAGAGGAACGGCAGAAAACCCAGACAAATGGCGCTCCTCGAACAAGAGAGTGCCGTGCATGGGGGGCCCTGTGGGAGCGGGGCTGGCTTCGCATCCGAACCCGGAGAGGCAGCTGCAACTGCGGCTGCAGATCTCTTGCCTGGGTGTTATTGGCCGTCAGAACATATTGAACTGCAAGCAAGCATGTGAGCACGACAGAAAGCCTGGCTGGGCGTCGCGAGCCCTCAGGAACGCCGTTCGTCACAGAGGCGCATTGCTCACCTTGCCAGCCAGAGAAGCACACGCACCCCTGGGTGCCGTTCGCGTCGCACTGCCCTCGCTCTGGGGCACCGCAGTCTTCCGGGCAATGGGGGATGTCACAGGCCTCTCCTCTCCAATGTTCCGCACACTCGCATTCCACCACTTTGCTGCTGTTCGTGAGCTTGCACTCCCCTCGGCCGGAGCAGTTGTGCGGACACACATTAAAGCTGCGGACAGAGAGCCGGAAGGACTGGATTGGAGATGTGTGTTCACGCAATGCTGAGGGAATGGAGAGCTTAACAGGGAACACACCCGACACACGTCCAGCACAACCAAAGGGCGGGCTGTTTCATTTTGAAGCAAGGACAAACTATTCTACCCTTCAACACACTAATTGCCTTGCGTGCACTGTCAGGGCAGTGAAATAGCAATGCTTTCCCTACTTTTTTGAACGCTTTTCTGGAGATGCATCTACTGAGCCAAACAGTGTTACGCCTTTCAGATTAATTAACGGAGTGCCAGGGCAGGAAAGGTGCAGCTGGAAAAAGCAGGCAGGAGGAGAGCGGCAGGCATCAGCTGGGCCACAACACGCGTTCCTAGGAAGACCGGGTGGCTATGCCTGACTGACGTGAGAAAAACCATTTTTATTGTTTCTCATATTGTATCCCATATTAAGATATTCTGGCTACCTAACAAAATCAAAACCACCATACAATTAATTGAAAACATTAATAGCAGTTTGAAACAATTAAGAAGAGCATTAACAGAGCATTAAAACACCGAAGGGAGATAAGTTAAGCAGCAGCACAATGGTCCGTTTGATTGTTGTCACATAAAAGGTACTCAGCGATAAAAGTGTCGTTAGTGTCCGCCTGAAGGCCGGGGGCAGGGGGGGGCTGACTTCGGCAACCACTAATAGGACCCTCTTTCGTGCAGCTACCAAACCTACTTGAGAACAGGACCCCAATGCACTTGAGGAGAGTCATCCTGAAGGCGACCGTCCCTGAAACACCCTGGATCAAGGCCGGCTGGGCCTTAAGCACTGCCTGAGTGCTTGAATCAAGCTCCAAGCCCACGGGAGACGGCTTGGCTCAGAATCAGAGGCGCTCCCCGTGCCCGGCTGCAGCTCTCCTGACAACCCCCTTTTGTGCCATCTCCAGCTTCTGCGGGGGCTCCTCTGTGTACACTGGGCTGCAGTCATCCAGTGCGGATGCCCCCACAGCAATGTGCTTGGGGAAGATGGCAGCACTGAGCTGCCGTGGGCAGGAGGAAGTCTGCAGGATGCGGCCCTCAGAGACACAAGGAGCTCCGCTGAGCTCCCTCAAACCTAGCCAAGGGGCGCACCTGCTTGATTCTGATCAGACCAGCAGTGTCTGGGCAACCAGGCAGCTGCTGTACAAGGGCTTAAGAGCAAAACCTGTGGAAGGACAACAGCTCTGCCACAGAGCACAAGGTCTGCATGAGTCAGGCCCAGGCCCAGGCCCCAAGAAGCCCCGTGCAAACGTTTCAAGCGGCAGCTGAGGAGGAAAAGCTCTGCCTGAGAGCCCAAAGGGCTGCTGGCAGCCTGCGCTGACATCACCGGCCGAGACAGATAGAGCCCACCCTGGACCAGAACAGCTGGCTGTGCTTCCAAAGCGGTCGCACCGTGCCACGGCCAAGTACTGGCTGCTGCCACAAGGTGGCACTACAGCTTCTAGAATGTCGGCTCTGGGCTGCCAACAGAGACCCCATGGAACAGAAGCCCGTTCTCGCTGGGCTGGCCGTGTCCTGCAGCTGAGCTGTCAGTTCCTCCACCGCTTCAGTGTGAAGAATTAGAGGGCACCTTCGCACTGAGAGACGCTGGGAGATCAGGTGTAAGTACACCTAATATTTGTTCATGGACCAACACTGTACATAACAGACATCCCGCATTTTCCTGAGGAGGAGGAGGAGGAGGAGGTAATTAATATCACAACGCCAGCGACACAGCTGTTAATCCTCCCACCAAGGCTAAAAAAAACCGCAACTGCTAAACTACTGGGGCTGAAATCAAGCTAAATAGGCATGTTTGTCTAATAAAATACATCAGAGACTTTGCCCTTTACAAAGTTATAAACAGTACACCCCTGTGAAGTCACAGTTCAGCATTCGCGGCTTTCAGTCTTTCGCAGAATTTTTCTCCGAGCGAGTCCAGGCTGATCTCCTTGCGAGTAAGTCAGTGCCTCCTGGCAAGGAGATCATTTCCTCTGAGCTTGGACTTGCTCCGAGAAAACGACCTCCGGCCCGCCCCTGCCCCGCCACACGCGCCTCCCGCCTGCGCCACCGTAGCAGCTGGCGCCCATTGCCGGCACCGAATTTGCGGTTTTTCACAATTCACAGGTGCTTTAGGAACATAACCCCCGCGAATTTCAGGGGACTACTGTATCCTTTTTCGACAGCACCCAAAAATGCTATCAGGGAATAGCTCCACAAAGCGTGTTGATTCAGTACTTTGAAGCCTTAATATGCAGTAGCTAAAAACTTACTTGTAGGTGATGTTAAATCCTGTCAAATTATAAGCTGCATCGCTGAAGAAATGCAAGAGTGCATAGCCAGAGGTGGCTACGATCTCCGGGACTGTTTCGTTGCTCTCCTTCTCGGGGACAATAAGGCCGCTGGAAGAGACAAGGCATCACCGTAAGAGGAGAGCGCTTCAGCCAGTTGTGCAGGCCCCGAAGAAATGCTTCATTGTATGCAAAAAAAAGCGCAAGCTGAATTTCAAACCTGTGATGTTTCTGGCAACTTAGTTGGAGGTGTTCACACAGCCACTGAAAGATGTCCTCTATGTATGTTATTTAGTACCGTTTCCCCGAAAATAAGGCCTAACCAGAAAATAAGCCCTAGCATGATTTTTCAGGATGCTCCTATTATAAGCACTAACCCCAAAATAAGCCCCAGTTAAGATCATCAGCCAGAAGGATGCATTTAATATGTCCGTTGCAACACAATTTGGGGTTTGGAGAGTTAAGACGATGTTCCAGAAGAAGATGACATGACTGTATTTGAATAAACGTAGATTTTTGTACATGAATAAATGTAGATTATTGTACATCTACATGGATGTAGCTGTGTAAGACATCACCTGAAAATAAGTCCTAATGCGTCTTTTGGAGCAAAAATTAATATAAGACCTGGTCTTATTTTCGGGGAAACACGGTAGCGACAGCTTATATAATATAGAGCACAGTCCTACCGCCTCTGGACAGCATCCAAGGGACTGCAAGATGTTTCAGATTCCCAGTACTGAGGTCACAGGCAGCACTCTGACCTCAGAGCTGGGAACCAGAGCTGGCCCCACACCACCCTGACGGCTGATAGGGAAAGCAACTTATGGCTTCTCTCCGAGGTCTGGAAAGCAACCTCAGGGGGAGCAGAAAGAGGGGCATCCCAGTGACACCTCTCCAGCCTCCTTCCCTACCCCCCCAAAACACCCTCCCCCAAAGAAAGCCCCTTCTAATAAAAATGCGGGACAGGAGGATGAGGAGGGAGGAATCATTCACTTCAGTCATCCTTCCCACACGCCACTGAATGAGTTAGGGCTGCTGGGCGCTGCCTCACCAGGTGGAAAGAGGAGACCCGATGCAATAGCTCAAGAAGCTCATCTGGCTCGTGTGTTTGCTGCTGAAGGGCAAAAATCCTCCCCACGCCCTCTAGACAAGGATGTCATGCTTTTAAATTGTACATAATCTTAACCATAAATCAAAGCGATGCGAGCGAGAATTCAGGTGCGCTTGCGAGAACAGCTGACAGGAGCCAGAATCGGTTTCACCTAAATGCCACCCCAGAGGTTTGAGGGAGCTTGTGGTAATTAAAGACCTAACACTGGCATCCCATGCATTATACAAGCACAAAATGCTCCAACGTACCAGCAAATATTACTAAGAAAACCCTTTCACATTACTAGGCATCTGCTAACAGTCTTGCGGCTTGGAAGGCGTAGAACAGTGACTATGACGACCACGCATAACAGTCTTTGCACCCAAGACACCAGAAGGTAAACTCCGGGACTCAGAAACATGGAAACAGAGCGAGTCAGAAGGGTCTCCCAGGCCATCTGGTCTGGCTCTGGGCTCCAGCCGGCTCTGCTCACGAAATACCTTCTCTGTGCACTTGTTTACTTGACTGTGCAGCTTACTAAATTTCACTTGTTAGGATTGTCAGGATGTGGAAGATGTTTGGAGCTAATAACGTTAGAAGGTTACACAATGGCAGAATAATGTGTTGCAAAAAGCATTAGTCAGTACTTGAATTTTCTATTACTGGGTTTACCTAACACGGCTGTTTTTGTGCATAAAGATTTAGTCACACATCTACATTTCTTAAGAAAGCAGAGAGGTCAAGTCTTTGCAGGAGAAGAAGACTCCCACCTCAGGTATTTATACATCACTACTGCTGTCCCAGGAATACTCAAGAGGTTGAGCTGAAGTGTTCCCTTGAGCAAAGGTTGTTTTGGAGGGGCTAGAAACATATAGGAAGCAGCAAGCACATTATCTGAAGATCAAAGAAGGCAGGGAAAACAGTAGCAGAAGCCATTAGCTGGAGCAGAGGAGTGCTTATGCACAGTTGCAGGGACGGAAATTGGGGCAATCAGAGAAATGATCATATTGACGCAGTGTTTTTCCTCAAAGACTCAAACCCTTCCCATACATCCTCCCACTGCTAACAAAGAACCGCACACACTCATACAAAAGATGGAGTGTGAGGCGGCAGGTGGCCCAAGTCCCTCCCCACCTAATGCAAGGTCGGTGTTGAGGTGCACCTCGGCCGATACTTGATTGTCTCAAGTAATCAGCATGTCTGCCTGCAGGATGGAGTCTCAAACCAGGGCCCTTCTCTTCAGGAAATAAGCAGCACTGGAAAGCACAGAACTGTGGCCCCCACAGCACTGGAGGTATTAGCCCGCTACAAGACAGACTGTGTGCAATATGCAAAACAACATTTAGGGGGGTAATAAGAATTTTGTCATTATAATTAATGTGAACATTCTATGAACACTATCCAAGCCCCTGTAACATTTCAGAGCTGATCTATGCTATGTCGTAAAAGTGGACACTCAAAATACGTCTGGCACACGTTCATTCCCACCCTGAAAGGTGTGAATGTGCTTCACAGCTTCATATAGCTGTTCTTCATTCAAATGCATAACTGCAATACTACCAACATGGAAGAAAAATGTTTGCTCGATTTATTATCCACTCACTTGTCTCAAGTGTGACATGTCATTCAGCCATCTTTACAAGGAAAAAAGGCTGTGGTGAAAGCGAAAACAGCACAAGAGCCAAATAAATGCAGCAAATAGTTTGCCCAGAACACAGCAAGGCAGAGAGCGGTGGGTGTTTGCTAGCCCTTGCCAGTCCTTCAGTGCAATCTATTACGTCAGCAGCAGCAGCAGCAGCAGGACTCCCCGCACCCCAAGCAAGAGGAGGTGAAGAATAAGCAGGAATTCAAAGCCACGAGAAGGGGGCTGCGCGCAAGGGATTCCAGGCGCAAATACGCCGGCAGCGACTGTTCCTCCCCCTTCCATCTGGCCACGCCACCACTCATCCTCCGTCGCCCCAGGTGCCCTGGCAAATGATTGGCACAAGGCAGGCACGCTTATCCAAGTACTACCGGGTTCCACAGGAGAACTCCAGGCGAGCGGCTCAGGCTGCAAGGATCCGGAAATGCCACAATCCGCTCTCGCTTGCGATCGCAGGCGGCCTGTCCAGTCACGTCATGCGAACAGCGTCCACGGCACCCATGGTGGCTCTTTGTTCCAAACCAAGCCGCCCGTGGACTCTTCTGGGACTGGAGTTGCCCATGGGGGCGCACCGTGTTGTCTGGAGGACAGAACCCGCCGTGCAACCAGCAAACCGTGCAGTGGGAAGAACATTCCCGGGCTGTTCCTGCCGGGCGCCTGCCATCGCCCAGACCCGGGCTGCCCCATCTGGGCTCTGCCCCAGCTGAGGGAGGCCGTTCCTCCCCGCAGTGTGACTGCCAACCAAATCCGAGCTCGGACTCTTCCCAAGCCTGGAAAGGGACCAAGGAAAGGGACCAAGTTGCTTCTGGAGAGCCATCCACACTGGCTGCTCCAGAGGTCCTTGCGCTGCTGCAGTGGCCCCTGCACAGGAGAGGGGAAGGGAAACCCCTGAGCCATACTTCAGAGGAGACTTTCCAAGCACCCAGCAAGGACGACAGGATCCACACCTCCTTGCATGGTCATGCGCACGTGTAGGCGAGGAGGAGAGGATATTCCTGCTCTCATGTCCCAGCAAGGACGACAGAGCCTTGCCAGGACGTGGGTGCTGTTTCCGGACAGCAAAAAATCCCTCGGGCCTTCAGTTTCGATGGAGGGGCATGGGGAGGGGCTCCCAGCATGGCCAGGCAATGTCCAGAGGGACTGCCTGCTGCCCCTTTGCAGAAGGCAGTCTCTGCCCGTTGCCCCAGCCAAGCCTGCAGACTCCCCGCAAAAGATAAAACGACCACTGAAAGCAAAGGCACAAGAGGCTGTTTTCCACAAACAGCAATCCCTTCCTAGCACGATCCTTTTCTCTCCTGGTGTTCTCTTGAGAGGGGATCAACATTCACCCTTTGTCCTGAGCACTTGGGGCGGGGTGGGGGGCGGGTTATAAATGGGTAAAAGTGCACACACCCCTCATTTTAAGGGGAAGGAAAAATGAACTGAAATGAAAGCGAAAACAGCGGTGAGCCAAAACGAGCCTCCAATCACAGCTGTCAGAGAGCACAGCTCATTCCTCCTGGATACTGCCTGGAAAGGGAGAGGAGGAAGTACCCACGGTGAGCATCATCTTCCACTGGGCTTGCCATGGGCACGTCCCAAAAACATCCAACCTGCAATGAATAATAGCCACGGTAGGCTCTTTGTTTTCCACTGCTCCAGAGGGCAGAGCACAGACCAGTGGGTCCGAATTACAGGGGGAGGCCATCAACTCCCTGAAGGGTCACATGGGACACTGGAACAGATGGCCTCAGAGGGAGCCAGATTCTCCCGTGTTAGGGTTACTGTGGCACTGGATTCCCTACGTTAGCGGGGGGCTGGACTAGATAACCTTGAGTTCCTCTCCAACCCTATGATTCTCAGATACAAATTTGCTCCATGCATATTATCTATTTATTTCTATATTGCCCAATAGCCAAAGCTCTCTATACGAATACCCAGGAAGACAGAGAGCGGGGATACAGCTGTTTCCTTAATTTCTGGCCAAAGGTGGCAGCTGGGCCTTGCTCCTTCCACACAGACAACTAAGCACCAATTCCACCTTCTAGGCACCCGAACACAAGTGACCATCTCACTTATGTAAAGAGCCAGCCATGAATAGTTTGAGAACATCAGCACAAGGGTGCCTTTTCCGGCCCTGTCTACCATCCCAACGTCCTGCACGGAGCAGGGGGCTGAACTGGAGGGCCCTCTGGCCCCTTCCAACGCTACTGTTCTGGGATGCCATGATATGAATGCATTTTCTGTTCAAAAAAAGCCCTCTGGGCAGACACCTCCATGTGCACAGCATTCCCACACTAAGATCTTCCTGTCAAGAGCAACACACACACATGCGCACGCATGCGCACGTGTGCTCAGAGAGCAAGAGAGAAGTATATAAAAATAATTTTGCATGAGACACTCCTCAGGTACTCAAGTTCCCTCAGCCTAATGATGTGTGCGCAGCACTCTATGCCAGCCGTTCCAAAGCCAATGTTTCATCACAGCTTAATGAAAAGTGAGCCCAGTTGTCCAGCCAAGGGAGAACGAAGAACAACTGGCACTTTTGTTTTCGCATCACAGTGGAGATGTTTTTTTTTTTTTTTACTGAAACATCTCCAAGGAGTTGCTCATTGGCGGATCCATTTTGTGAGCGGAGTTAACCTGCAGAATGCCAAGCCCGACACCTCTCATGGGAATTCCTTCCCATGAGGGACCCCAGACTGCTTCACGAGGCAGGTTTGCAATTCGAAGCCACCGCAATGGAGGGCTGCAAGAAGCATCTGGCAGCAATGAAGGGGCTTGTGACAGCTGCGAGGTTCCAAGATGAAAGAGAGGTGGGTGGGCCAGGCGAAACACAGCCAGCCTGCTTGACCTCTAGTGGCGGTTGCGCATGATGCAGTCCGAAAGGTAGCACGGAAGTTTTGGGCCTTCACAGAACCAAGGCCCATAATGAGTCATCACCACCCTGTGCCAGTGCAAGCCAATCTCCTGTTACTGCTGCAATGCTCTGCTTCAGAGGCAGGCTTCCGTGGGCACCGGGCCCAGGCACGCACCCCCTGCAAGGGGTCCGCTGCCAACTCGCAGGGCCTCCAGGCCCCGCTGCTCTTCTTTGAGCTCTTCCTCAGGGGCTCCGCCGGCTGGTCCGCCCACTCCACACATGCCAGCAGGAGTCAGAGGCAGAAGACAGCCGCAGCCTTCCCTCCAAGCAGATGTCCGGAGCGCGAGGCCTAGCGAACGGACTGTGAAGAGGAGCTGAGCCCACTCAGGCAGAGCCCCATGAAGTTATCTTGCCTGGCCCCAACCCAGCACCTTGCACTGGCAGCTTATCCAGGTACACCCATTCGTGCTTGGAGCCACTAACCAGCTAAGAATACCGCATGGTTATGGTGCTCACGAAGAACCAAAGCCAAAGCAGCCTGACTCCTAAGGCCAATGACGACAATTCACCACTGGCCAGTGGCCTGAAGGCAATCTCTCTAGCTTACACCCCAACACTCCAGCCACTGGTTGAACCACCCAGGTGGGTGCTTTAAGTGGAATATGCGTATCAGACGCGCAAAATGCAGCTCCACCATGTAAAATTAGAAGCCGGTGGCATATACTTCCCCACATAAGGAGGTGATGGTACAGAGTTACCAACCATGGCTCATATTCAAGTTATAGGACAGACTGATAACTCATTATTTACAAGGTGCAGCATCAGGACTGACTACAAACAGAAACACAACTGAGCACTTCCAAAATTTCATCATCCACTCCGGCCCCAGAAAAGGAGAAGCGATTTTATCTTACCACCTAAATACAAACTAGACATAAACCTTTCACGTTAGGTGTCTATGCATGTGGATTCCAAGCTTGTCCAAACAGAGGCATGCTGCCTGGATTGCAGTCCGTTTAATGCTAGAGTCGATTTACAGAAACCTTCTCTAAACTCACAGGAACTTTGCTGCCAATCTGCTATCCTGAGAAGCTTGTGAGTCCTGCATTGAGCAGGGGGCTGGACCCAACAGCCTTATCGGCCCCTTCCAGCTCTATATTCTGGGATTTCTTGATAAGCAGCCTTACAAGATGCTCCATTTCCTTCCATGTTTTGCTTGTCATTAGCAACTGCAGTGGAATGCAGAAGCTGAGACAATATGAGGCCACCAAAGAAGAGTCATTTGCAGATGAGAATAAAAAGGTTTTGTAACGTGCTAGAAAAGGAAGTGTAGTTTGTAAAAGCAAGCACCAAATCAGACGGATGACTGAGCAACTATCCCAATCCTCAGGCTCCTGGGGTTATCAAAGCTCATCCACATGTGACATGACTAACTTATGGATATGTCAATCAAGACTATGAGCTACAAATGCAGAAAAGTGCGAGATCTCCGTAACCCTGCCCTATTTAAATCAATTCTGAATCACTAGGAAGAAAAGTGTCAGAATGAATGCATTAAAACAGCCAGAAACACGAAAGAAGGCAGAAGGCTGAAGAAGGCAGACTATATATCTTACATATCCAAATGCACTTAATCCTCTGGCACTGAGTTCCTACTGTTTTATATGAATTTCAAAACACAGGCTTTAGCTTCCTGAACTACCTGGGAAGCCAATTAAAACCCCATTAATTGGAGAAAAATTAAATAAAAACAGCCAATTCACATCATGTGCACTCCACCTTGATAAATGAAAATGCTATTTCAGAATAAAGCATCTTCAAGAATTCTGCTAATCACTGGAAAGGAACAGCTGCATCACTTCCCGGTGCATCACCGCATTATTTCTAGGCAATTTCTTATCTCTTCCATATGTGAAAAGAATCATCCTGGAGTCCAAGTGCATCTCCTGCCCAAGACCAGGCTTGAGGATGTGCATGGGTGCCTAACAGCCCAAAATTCAATGGTATCCATATGGTGGCCGTATTCAATTATGCACACCTACCCAACACAGACTTAGAATTCCAGTAAGTAACGCAACCAACATGAGCTGAATGGGTAATTCTGGCCAAGGCAGTAGTTACATATGACCACCTTGCCACAGAGGGAAGGCCTACCAGTTAAGAGGTTTTGGTGGTCATCATAAGCCTAAATAAAAAAAGAGTAAGAGCACAAACTCCAAGGAATTACGGGAAAGATACACCACATACAAAAATACGTTCTTCCTCTTTCCCTGTGCTTCCTACCTACAGCTCTTCCTTCTTTCTTCCTAGTTCACACACTTCTCAGCCATCAGAAACTGTACTTTTTGTTGACTCAATACACACACACTGGCTTTGGTACCCGTTAAGAGAATTCTAGGCTTCTGTGGCCTGTACTAATGAAGTCCAAATCACAATTATTTTGCGTTTATACAAAGTGAATCCATATTCACAGCTCTTCCTTCACGCCAGCCACTACACGTTTAATGTAATGAGGTCATGGTGAAGATGTTCAGCCTCCAGCAGTTGTAAGCCTCGTGGAATTCTCGAAACCAAAAAACTACCATCACCTTTGTGCGTTGTAATAAATGGCACAGAGATATCACAGTAAAGGAGACAGATTACAAACATGAACATTTTTCCAACCAACTGTGGGGAATCTGTGTTTTCAGAATACCAGTTTTGATATGCTGAAATTCCCAAAGACTGGAGAACGGTGGGTGCAGGCACGCTGCGCCGGCCGTGGTTTGCACCACAGGCATTCCACTATTTCCACCACTGACCCTATTACCACCCTAGAATATAAAAAGAAAATCTAACTTTCAAGACCAAACACAGAGAACTGTGTGAAACTAACACAGCATACCAGTTAGTTCGACACTGTGCTGTGGGACTTACCTAAAAGCAGCCAGTAATGGAGCGTAAATTGAATCACCATCATATACATACAAGTGGTCCCAGCTGCATTCCGTTGCAAAATGATTAAAGCGGAGCCTAAGGATTGTGTTCGGCCTGAAGGAAGAAAACATGTGCAATGTTATTATCACAGACAGCATCAACATACTGCTCTCCTTCCCCAGAGCTGTAAAACGCAAGGCAAACGCTGACCTCAGATACCTGGTACGTTCGGGAGAAACCCACTGACTGTGGCCCTGTCCTGATGCATCTTTCATCAGCATTTGTGTGTGGCGAGTGCGACTGGGCTTACAAGACACGCGGGAAGCTGCCTTCTCCTGAATCAGACCAGCCTCGGTCCCTCTGGCCCAGGACTGCCAACGCTGCCTGGCCATAAGGGCTCTCCAGGGTTCCAGGTGGGAGTTGTCCCTGCTGGGCCTGGAGATGCTGTGGACTGCACCTGGTACCACCTGCACACCAAAAGGGTGCTGCACGGCATCATCTCAGCGCAGAGAGGAACTCCCTGATTGTGAGCAGTCAATGCTGTATCACACTGCCCACAGGTTCATGCTAGGCCTATAAACTGGGAATCAGCCTTAGAAAGGAAGGCATCATCATCCAAGCAGTCATATCATGCTGCTTTTGTGAGGCCGAACTTTCTCAGGCCACAGGTAAGGGGCAGTGCATGCTTAAATGCCCCCATATTAAATCGATCGATCGCTCTCTGTTTTCTTTAGCCACAGATGCATCTCATGAAGTGGCTTAAGCTATGGGAAGACAGCTTGCCTTAAGAACTCAGACTTTCAGTTATGTTCTCTCTAACATCAAGGACTGCAATAAGTTCTCCCATTTAAACCATCCGTTTCTTATCACCAGATCATTTAACACGAGGGGCATCACTTTTACAAAGGCCATGGCTTCTCAGAGAAGCATTCCATGTGGACATTCCATTCATATATATCATGTGCTGCATTATATTCTACACAATCCTCTTACAGCTTGTGTATGAATGCATGCATTACTTCGTATGAAAAAAAATACAGGTCGAGGGTGCTGGCATCTCAAAAATGCCACAAAATATCATGACTGAATTTAATCAAAAGCATCCTTCAGAAGAATGGGCAATATGACCATCACTATGCCTTTTTTTAATCCCTTACATGAAACTACTCCAGAAGCTGGAGGAGATCAAATATCAATATAGTTCACAAAAGCTGCTTTCCACAGCTTGAAGAAGCTTTCCTAAAAGGTCAACAGCATCTATGAAGTCTTCTTTAGGTAAACATAATCAGAGAAAGCTAACATTTCTTTGAGAAAACTGTTTTTTTGTTCAGAGCAAGTACAGGCAGCTTTACTTTTAGCACAGTAAGAGCTGGACTGCTAGCCAAGGAACCAAGCATGTAAGCTTCAGGGGGGATGGATTATTCCCCCTCCTTCACTTCAACCAAAGAAGGGAAATAGCTTTAAAACTTCATAGAAATCCCCAACACTAAACAACATGGTTAATACACTTGGGTTTTGTTACCACATAATTATACTTCTCAATTATTTCCCCAGCTTTACTAACGCTTAACCACAACTTGTTGAAGGAGGGAGAAACACCCTTTCCAGCTTAAATCTGATCTCCACTTCCCGTGGCCAAAACGTTTGCTGTGTTCTTCACCTTAATGCTACAAGCAAAAGGAAAATGAGTGTATTGTGTGTATTTTTGTATTTAGTGGTAATTTATTATGTTCTATTGTATTTCAATGTATTTTATTGTGTTGTAAGCCGCCCCGAGGCTTCGGCAAGGGGCGGCATAGAAATGTTATAATAATAATAATATAATAATAAATAAGCATGACCTTGGCCAGACTACCAGCTACTGTTGGTGAGATTTTCCACACCAAAACAAAAGTGCACATAACATTGATAAAATGATAAACTAGAGACAGTTCCAGTAGTTATTTTTGAATAGTAAATTATTTTCCGTTTAGGAACTGGTCATATATCCAGCCAATAAAATAAAACCAATGAAAAGGGTAAATGCAAGGAAAGCAATCAATGGTACTAATAATATTAGATCAGGCAGAGTTCAACTAAGCTGCTGTTTACTGATGCTGCCAAAGCATTTGATTAAGTGGAATGTACTCTTATTCAAAGTTTCAGATTATAATCTTGCACCTCAGTTTATTGAATGGCTTTAGCAATGCCTCAGCCAGAATTTTGGTCGAATAACAGGATTACAAGGCAAGTCTGTAGTCTTTCATCACTTTTATCCATTCAGGCTATAGAACCACTGATAAATCAGCAATGCTATTTATCTGGCACCAAAGTACACAGCATTACAGCAGATGCGACTCAGGTCAAAACTATAGGCTTGATGCCATAATAATGCAGCTGCCTCAGTCTGGCCCTTCCTTACCTAAAGTATTGGAGTTAATTAGAAAATATAACAGCATTCCAGACTATACTCTAAAATCAAAGTTCTTATCAGTAAATTTATCAAGATGAGAAGAACCAGAATTCATTACATCTGGTTACGATCTTAATGTAGTTGTGTATCTAATTAAATATTTAGGAGATTATGTACAGGTCTTTATAAACTAACTAAAATAAACCATGACCCATGTATTTAAAAGGTACACCAAGGTAAAGCTAATTGGAAAAAAATGAAACTACCATGGTTGGGTAATCTGCAGCCTGTTAAAAGTAAAATGAGGTAAAATTTCATGCATCCAAAAAAGAAAAAAAGAGAGAAAGGAAAGGAAACAGCAGTGTAAGTAACATTATTAAAACAATTTAAAAATCCAGGTTTCTGTGATTGCTATTCAAGAGTAAATTATTTCCACTTCTGGAACGGTACATACATGCACGTAACAAAAAGAAACCTAAAATATTTAAAAGGTTATGGATTTACCTACACACAGACAAAATTACTGCCAATTTTGTGGAAGTTAAGAAATGCATTACTCACCATCCCTCAATAAGCCATGTGCATTTTGTTTTGTATTTATAGTTCCCAGGTCCATCTGTTACATACCCTGAAGGTCCAGTAAGCCTGTGAAGAGAAAGCAAGCATGTAGCATCCTGTCATGATTCAGTATTTGTTTTATCACAACTATTCCAAAACGGACAGAAAATAAAGAACTGCTAATATCATGATGCATTTCACAAATCTATGGTACAGCCATGCTTGGCAACTGTGCATAGTTTTGGTTACAGCAGCTCAAAAATATTGTAAAGATGGACAACCAAAATTATCAAAGAAAAGGAGCAAGTTTCTTATCAGGAAAGGTTATAATGTTCAGGGCCTCTCAGCTCAGGAAAATGTGAATACGGTGAGGCATAATAGAGGAAGAAAAGTATTTTCCTCTTTCTCTCATTATACTAGACCCTCGGGTCATCCAAAGATAAATGGTGGGAGAACTAAGAGAGGGGAAAGGAAATACTTCTTTATACAGCACACAATTGTAACAACGGAATGTGCCGGGTAGTGATAGCCAGAAACGTTGATGGCTTTCAAAGGGGATTGGAAAAATTCACTGAGGATAAGTCTATCACTCCTTAAAGCTAGAAGTTACCACCAGTATCCACCACTCATGCTCTACTTGTGGAATTTCCACAGGCAGCTGGTTGGCTAGAGTGTGTACAGAATGCTGAGCAAGATGGTTTGACCCTTACAGATGGTTTGATGCCTCTTACATTTGCATACCTTCAAATCAGGCATTAAATTAACCTTGTGTCCTTTAGGCTAGCTTTTCAGTGAAGAGCTGTCACCCCTTCCTTGCAATTTTAACGGTAGATGGAAAAGGTAAAATCAGATATAATGAACATGTTTACCCATGATTTTGGAAACTGAAAATATTTAGTGCATATTTATATTAGTGCTTTTAGAAGTTCCAATATAGAATTTCTTTATAACCCATCTAAAAGAGTCCAGAGTGTCTGATATGCAGCTACCGTTCTTAGGAAAATCTATTATTTCTATCACATTCAATACAGCTGAAAATATGTTTATAAAAGTTTGCCATTCCCAAACTTTCAGCAACACTCTACGAATTTCCAAAGTGTCTGGTCAAGGGTTTTGGCTTTCTCCCTTTACCAAGACAAACTAAGAGTGCAAAACCGCATATCCAACTCTTGCCCAGTTCATAGATAATGAGAAGCCATCAGGAGTAAATTTCCCTGTGGGATATATTGGTGCAGCGGCTGTTGCTGCTGCTCCGATGCCAAATGTCTGAGCACGGCAGGGCTGCCATTGCTTCCTATTAAGTCTGAACCAACAGAAGGTGGGCTGTTGGGATGGTTAATAAGACCCCCAGAGCCCATGGGCTGTTCTAGGGTTGTGAGTGGCTTGTCCACTACCGCAACAACCCCACTACATCTGACTCCACACTTCATATGCGTGCACTTCCGCCTTTATTTGTCCATGGCAAGCATCGCAACAGCATGTTTATGCACCATAGAATTCACTTCCTGCCGTCGATGTAAGTAAGACAGAACCTGCCTCTACAAAGGACACTATCCACTGATATGCAGAACCAGAAGCATAGGCAAATGCTACTCTGGGTTGCAAACATTATGCCCTGGGTCGGTCGGTCGGTCTCTCTTTTTTCCTGAATGCATATAAGTATTTTCCAAGCATCTGAGATAAAACACCCCGTCACCATGCTGCATGACTGATTTTTCTTTTTTTTAACACTCTAATCTTACACAAAATAAAGTTACTGTTCATTGTCCATTGCTAGAATTAGTCCTTCAAACAGAAATAAAAAAGGATGGCAACGACAATTGAGATAAAGTGATAACGGACTCCACAGATTATATTATCTACTTTTTCAAATAAGGTATATTAAGTCACCTCAGCATAAACTGGATGTAATACAGGATTAAGCAAGCATCTCTAGACAATCTATTTTCCAGTTTTCTGATCTGCGGTGGGAAGCCTGTCATTGGCCTGCCAGACCTAGGACCACACTGCATTTAGCATCTCCCTAACTTAGGCATGGCGGGCGGAAAAGAGAAAGACACACAATACTGGCACAAGCAATTCTGCACCACGTGCTGGTGAGAGGTCTCTACAAGCAGCCAGGGCTCAGAGCTTGTCAAAGAACAGGATCATTCTGAGCCAAAGGAATATGGTAGAGTGACCCGAACTGCTGTGGGTCTTGAAGATGGTTTAGAACAGACACCCCAAAGCTGGTGCTGTACAATTGTGCTGGACTAAAGCTATCAACTGCAACCCAAGCACAACCCAGTATGTTGTCATAGTCCACAGTCGTCATGGGGGTCCCATAGTTGTCATGGGGGTCATAGTCCAACCAATATGGGGAGCACCAGGCTGGGGAAGGCCGAGTTTAAAAGTCATAGAAACACCTTTGTGAAGAGCTAAGCAAATATTCCTATGGGGACTTTGGCATGTGTGGGACAGGAGCTTGTGGCAATGTCAGCATCTTTAGAAGGGGCCATAACAGGCCCAAATGGGCCTCATTTGCTGGTGGCAAAAAGATGTGCAGAAAGACAACCTGGCTTTTCCAGTTCTTTACCAGCAGACAGAATTGCACACATCTGTTTGAGAAAGCCACACCTGGAATGCAAAGTCTGAAAAGTGACGGTTTGGCTTACAGGCAATTCTGCACAAGCAGAATTATAAGAAGCGTTTTTATTTCAGAAGTGCAAAAATTCTTTTGTAACTGAATGTATAAAGAAGCAAGGTTGTCCCTTTTAGCTGTAACAGGAGAGACTGAATGATCAACAGCCCTGAAAAATTCAGACTATGAACACACAATACTAAGTACAGGCTCAGGTGTTTAATTTGGTCTTGTTTTCTCTAAGGCCCGATGCTCTCAGTAGCATGCACATTTCAGAATCTAATTGTGCAAAGAGCACCCATGTATCAATTCAGCCGGCGCCCTGCGAGTAATTGATGGCAAACAAACAGACTCGGTAGCTCAAACAAATCTTGCCTAAGTGGAAAAAGATCTTGTGCAATCTGCCCTTGTCTCAAACAACTTTACCCAGAAATTATTACAACTGACCTATTCTGAAAGCAATTACTGCCACTTTCACTGCACAAATAGCATTACAGAACGTCTCGAGCGTTGCTTGTGAGTCCTGAGCTGTCGTCATGAAGTTTCAACCCCGAATGAGACTTTGGCTTTTTGTGCTAAACAGAACCCCTGCACCCCTGCATGTGGCCAACCCAGGAGAATTTCAGTATCAGCCTATAAATTATTTACTTACCTTGACCAACTTTAAAACTGGCCTCGCTGAGCTAAGCAGCCTACTCCCTTTCCAAGAACTGTGCGCACAACATGAACTCTTATCAGAGTTAACCTGAGAAACATTGGACCTGCCGCCATTCTGCTGCTAAATACAGTGCCGCAGGACAACGCCCCCCAATCTGGACCCCTGCAGACGTGCTGCTCCGCCGCACATCGAGCGCACCGGGTTGGATGAGGCCGTCCTACAACCAGGGCTTGCCTCTCGCTTGGAATGCTAACACTCACGCCGGAATATTTGTTTCCCCGCACGGCACCATCACAGCAAAACAGCTGTACCTTAACGCCAGCGCTGCCCTTTTTTCAAATCCATGTTCAACAAGGGTTCTGACTCAGTGGAGCATTCCAGTGAGGCTGACTTATCAGATCACACTACTGGCAGGTTAATATATTTCTATGCCTTGCCTGTATGTACCAGAGTCACCCCCACAACACACACACACACACACACACACAGATACACACAGAGCTACAATGCTGTAAAATGGAACTAGTTCAAAGTGTGGTACCAGACAAAGAGGCAGAATTCAACAGCAGACACAATACTGGCCTCAACTCCCTGGACAGTCGTGTAACCTGGGAAAAGCTCTCGGGCAGAACTACCGTTTCAGATATGTCAAGACATGACGTACCTGCAGTGAGAACACAAATACGTAAATGATGGATACGTGCTAGGGATGACTGAAAAAATCTGGATGTATCAGAACAGAAAGCCACTGCATCCCCATCGCTTTTCTTCTTTCCTTTTTAAAGACAATCGCTCCGATGTCTTCAACACACATCTGACATCATTCTTCCTATGATGCTGAACATCAGTGTGTTTGTACTGCAGTGATTAGCTCCCCAAAACCAAGGTCAAATGACAGCTATTTCCACCTGGAAGTATTTTGCAACATTTTACAAGGACCACTCTCAATCAGGCAAATGCATGGAGAATAAGGTCATCGACGGCTCCCGGCCCTGACAGCCATATGCTACCTGAAGTGTCAGAGGCAGTGTGCTTGTGTACACCAGAGACTGACGAACGGGGACAGGCGCGTGCTGTTGTGCTCATAGCCTGCTTGTGTGTTTCCCTGGGCAACTGTTGGCCACTGTGTGAACAGAACGCTAGACTAGATGGAGCCTTTGTCGATGCGGCAAGGCTGCTCTTATGTTGTTAGATTTCCTCTTCAAGACAGTTTCCTTTGTGAACGTCTTTATTCTTACTTCCCACTCCACCCATGTGCAGGATATATGCAGCTGAAATCAACTGGAACAAATTAAGTTGCATTATTGGAAATCTCGTCTCAGTAACCTGTTTGAGCTCTTTGAGAGTGTAAGCAAGCACGCAGACAGGACAATCGGAGGGCCTTGTTTGCTTGGACTTCCAATGGCTTTCGACTAAGTCCCTCACCAAAGGCTCCTGAAGAAACTAAGCAGACATTGAATAAAAGAGCAGGACCTTTAAAGAACAGAAGACAGAGGGTGGGAATAAACAGCAACTTCTCCCAATAGAGAGAGGGAGACCCACAGGGTCCTGCAGTAGGACCAGTGCTTTTCAACCCGTTCACAAATGATCTGGAATTGGGAATAAACAGTGAAGTGGCCAAGTTCAATGAAGACACCAAACTATTCAGGATGGTTAAACCCAAAAGGGATTGCGAGGAACTCAAAAGGAAACTCTCCGGGTTGGGAGAATGGGCATCAAAATAGCGAATACAGTTCAGTATAAGCCATCATACAGCAACACATGTCAGGGCAAAAGATCCCAACTTCAATGGGATCTGAGCCAGCAGCA